AAAAGTGACCTAAAATCTGTACTTCTAAGCCCATAACTTTTCTTGCAGACATCCGATTCCAAAGTGGCATACCTCAAAATGATTGTGGTTTAATTCTCTAAAAAACTGTATACTCAGTTTGGTTTGCAATTTTGGGGTCGATTTTTCGTCATTTTGACAGTGTTACCCCTTTCCGAATTTGCGAAAAATGGCTTTGCAGAAAAGTGACCTAAAACCTGTACTTCTAAGCCCATAACTTTTTTTACAGACATCCGATTCCAATGTGGCTTACTTCTTAATGATTGTGGTTTAATTCTCTAAAAAACTGTATACTCAGTTTGGTTTGCAATTTCGGGGTCGATTTTTAGTCATTTTGACAGTGTTACCCCTTTCCGAATTTGCGAAAAATGGCTTTGCAGAAAAGTGACCTAAAACCTGTACTTCTAAGCCCATAACTTTTTTTACAGACATCCGATTCCAAAGCGGCATACCTCTAAATAATTGTGGTTTAATTCACTAAAATTCTGTGTTTAAATCTTGTTTAGTTATTTTGGGTAGATTTTTCTCATTTTTATGATGCGAATGGCACCCATTTTGTTCGAGTGCCACACTCATCCGCTCCGCATCCGCTGCTGGTTTGTCATATTCCAATCCGAGTCCCAAAAGCCACGTGGCAATAAAGGAAGAGCGCACATGTCAAGATGTGACACATTTGATTGAACGCATGCAGCCCAATCAATTTTTGCTGTCGATGGAAGTGGATCATTGGCTGGCTGAAAGCGAGTGGGCTCAGAACTCGTATTTGAATTCGTCGACGGCATTTGACTGATAATTGAAAACGTGTCAACAAGCCAACAATTTCCGCTAACACACGCAGCCCTTCGGCTACGTGTTTTGAAAGTCAGCTATCAAAATTATATTTCAGGCCGAAAAATGGCTTAAATGAAGTTTGTTCAGGTGGATTATCGTGGAAGGTTGAGTCTGTCCTAATAATAATCGAAATTCGTGCAACCGAGGCCAAACTGCTTTTTACATATGGCCCTTTAAAAAGAATTTGTTTGACTAAGCTTGAATTTCAAAAAAGCTGAAAATGGGTTCTAGGTTTGAATTGTATGTTGAAAAGAGTGCCAGAAATAAAAATAAATTACTTAAGCTAAAAATACATTTTTTATATTTTGATGTAAAATATCCTTACGCTTAAATAGTTTAATGAAGAAATGCCAACGAAAATGAATGAAATTCTGATCTAAAAATAAAGCTAACAAAGGTATCAAGCATCCAATAAATCAGTTCGTATAATTTAGATCACGAAATCTAAGTGTTTGCTCAAATAAAAAGACATCAGAGCATAGCGCTATTTTTGTATCCCCCAGAGATATTTATTTAATTTCCAAGGTCGCATTAAAGTCAATGTAAATAATAACAAAAGCCTAAGTTTAATATCGTATGTACTTTTTTATGTTATCTGAATGCATGCTATTCATGGCATTTGATAACACTCGCATATTGTGGAGTCTTCGAAAATGCCACCGATCGTCGGACAGTTCAGTTTGCCGCTTTATTCCTAAAGAGTCGGATGAGAGAAAAACTCTTCTTAAGTTTAAAAACACTGTCGGATAAATGAATAATGCATTTCGCGTGGTGCTTACCTCTTCTTCTGGCCTCCTTTAAAAGTGGGGCCTTTAGTCTAATTATTCCAATTATTCCAACAAATCTCCCTAACGAACGAGAATACTCAGATCTCTGCACAACAACCACTAAACCACTTTTACATTCGACTATTCACTCATGATTAACAAATACTTAACTTTTGTTACTAAAAGTAAAGCCAATTGTCTAATAGAAAGGCAAATATGTTTTGACCAGAACCGATACTTTTTCTGCGAACAAGTAGGTGAACAAGGTGAAGGTAATGATCAATTTATAACTGGCCTGTTTGAATGTTTCTCACCCTTCTGTGAGTCCGAGGAATTTAAGCACCTCTATATCACTCGTACCTCCCAAAGAACTCCTCACCTCAACAAGTGGAAAAGGGCTGAGATTGGCGAGCGAAGTACCCTGCAGGACCTGTGTCTTTTAAGTAATGGAATGCCGGTATCCAGGGAGTGTCGAATGGGGGACTACGGAGCCGAATGGGAGTCCACAGATCAGTGGGAGCCTGTAGTCTGTTTAAGTCAAGTAAAAGAGAACACCATAAGTAAAGCCCTGAACAGCTTACACGATGACATTCTGGAAGGGAGGCAAATCCTTAATGACACCCAGGGACGTGAAGAAATGGTCGACACGCTGACGACAATTCTTCAACAGTCGAATAGGACTCTCTTGCCCGCCGATGTGCTCATAACGGGGCAGATGTTCAAATCCCTAGTGGCGGAAGAAAAAGAAGCCAGTATCGGAGTAAATCTGGTTAGTATCTGCACAGAGATAATGTCCAGTGATAGCAAGGTTTTGCGCCTGTCCGCCAAACTGAACGCCACTAACAACCTGCTAAGCGAATTTGAGAGCTACATGGATGCTCTGCCAGAGCAATTGGTTCCCACAGACAAATGTGGAATGGTAATCACCAAACCAACCGGTAATGTGACTGTAGAGGCCGCCACAGGAGTGGAGACCCACGACTTCTCCGACATCGGAGTCCAAGCTCAAATCAACGGGAATATAAGCGTGTTCTTCACCAATCCCGAATGCGATGAAATAACCGGAATAGCTATCTTTTCTACTCAGGCCGAGGGTCGTCGAACCTCCTTCAACGGCTTCTGGTATCGCTTTCTACGATTTTCAGAGGAATTGGATAAAGTCAAGCGGGAATCCGATCTGGAGACAGCTGCCTTTCTGCCGGAGAATCTCTGGCGGGAAGTAAAAAGCTGGGGAATAACCTACATCATTTTTAAGGTGTATGCCCACGATGCTCTCTTCGTGGAAAACTCAGAGCAACCCAATCGCAGGCCTCGCAGCAAAATAATCTCCATTTCAATACCGGAGCTAAAAAGTAGGTACATCAAGTTATACTTTCGAAAAGACCTTACGACAATATCACTTTATTAAACAGATAAATCACTTCCCCTGCCGTTGCTCTTTCTTCTTCGGAATGAAAACCTTCGGGATCCAGATACCAAGGCCCTTAGTTTGGACAGTGGATGCGGTTATTGGAACTAGACCTGGCTGAGCGAGGGAGTCACTACCACTAGCAGTTCAGATCTGCTCACTGATCCCATCATCGAGTGCCATACGTACCACCCCACTCAGTTCGCGTTTCTGGTGGGTGGCAGTTATCGAAACGACGACCTTGCGGGAAAGGTTTTGATTACGCCGATAGAAGAGAGAGTGCTGGACATTATCTCGATCGTGGGATGCAGTCTTTCGCTGCTGGGAGTATTAGGAATTTTCCTCACGGCAGCACTATTTAAGAGTTGGAGGAGTCAGGCCTCCACAAAAGTCCTACTCCACCTTTGCCTGGCCATGGGACTTCAGATGGTGCTCTTCGTGTTCCTGAACACAGATGATATATCCGAACAACTGGTTGTCAGTGGAGATAAAGTCCGATGTGTGGCTCTGGGAGCTGCCTTGCAGTACTCCATTCTAGTGCTCTTCAGTTGGATGCTGATCATCGCCTATCTGCAGTACCAACGATACGTCATGGTGATTGGCGTCCAGAGACCCCGCAACTATATCCTGAAAGCTGCCTTTATTGCCTGGTTTCTGCCTGTTATCCCCACCCTTCTGGTGGCCTTTATTGATCCCGACTCCTATCTTCCATCTGCCGCCCAACTATCCAGGGACTCCGGCATCTGCTATCCATCGGGTCATGGCCTGATCTTCGGAGTGGTCCTCCCCGTGGGCCTCATAATAGTAGCCAATTTGGTGACCTTCGTGAAAGTGTTCTACAGCATCTCCCACTCATTGAGCCAGAGCAAGTTCAAGTCTGATCGGAAGATCTTGGTACAGGAGATCCGACTTTCCATTCTGCTCTTCTTTCTGCTGGGTCTCACCTGGATCTTCGGAATCCTTGCCTTTCTTCAGGGAGGAGTAGCCTTTTCATATCTCTTCTGCACCACGGCCACCCTGCAGGGATTCGTGATGTTCGTCTACTTCGTCGTTTTGGACAAAACAAATCGTAAATCCTGGATGGGTCTAGTCCGCCGCTTAAAGATGAAGATGGATGTGCAAAAGCGAACCGCCGAGCTCCACTCGATACCCACATCTTCCACATACACCAGTAGATCGAACTATTAGCGGCGATCATGTTTCACCATTCTAAGAATACTTACTAGTGCCTTTTAATTATTTTATTATAGCATTTTATTTTTAACCAGCATTTTACTAAAAATTGTGAAGGAGACTGATTTATCATATTAAAATACAAGTTTATCAAACGGCATAGTGTATCAGTAAAAAAGAGGAACTGAATTTGCTTACATTTTGAAATTATATTAAATTATAAGCTAAAATATGAAATAAAATAAAATGTTGTCGCTTTATATTTTTTAAAGTTGTACTTTTTAAAGTTGGGGATTTAATTGATTTAAATTTTTAATAAATCCATTTAGTTTAAACTCAGAATTAATTTTAAAATTCTGAACCTAGCATTAAAAAAAACCCATTGATAAATACAACTTAAATAGTTATGTACTTTGACTGATAACCGGTTGTCATCGCATTTCGTCGCTTTTTCTTGCTACACGCTCTTATCTTACAATTCAACAAACACGTAAGTAATGAATCAGCACGAGTCTCAAGTCTGTTAAAAAGGCGTGAAATCGCTATTTGCACAAATAATGACGACGTCACAAGTTCAGTGTTACTTCCCTGCCTCAAAGGGGACCGTCGAATTTCAATCTCAATTTCCGAGGCCGTGTTAATCACAATGTAAATTATATTATATGTGGTAGACTACAGGCTCTTTTCGTTTGCTAAAAGTTTCGATTAGCGATCGTGGTGAACTGATAACAAACACCACGTTGGGGTCTACGGAAATCTAATCGATCGCCAGACAGTTCAGTGCGCCGTGATATTTCGAGAGAGTCGGACGTGAAAATCCCTTGCCAAACTTATAAACAGTTTCGGAGAACTGCAAACAGCTGTCGCAGTTGAGTCACACGCCATGAATTTCGCCTGGTGTTTACTGCTTTTCTTGGTCTTGGCCTTCAAATCGCCTTTGAACTTGGCGGCCTATACAAATGGCAATGAAAACTGCCCTGCGGAGAGACAGATGTGTTTAAAAAATGGAACCTACAATCACTGTGCCGGTGTGGAAGCAAGATATCCGGGGAAAACCATGGAGACCGGCATAGTGTACTGTGACTCGATGTTCTGCGAACCGGAAGAGTTCCAGCATGACTATATCACCCGCAACCACGATCAAACACCGCACTTGAACAAATGGAAACGGACCAAAATCGGCGAACGTGCCACTTTGCACGACATTTGTTTGTTGAGCAGTGGAATGCCGGTCACGAGGTGGTGCAAACTGCAAAACTTTCGAGCTCACTGGGAGTCCACGGACGACTGGGATCCTGTGGTCTGTCTCAGGCGTGTTAGGGAGCACACCATCAGTGGCGATCTGAACAGCCTGCACGATGACATCCTCGAGGGCAGGCGACGCACCAATGACACCCAAGGACGTCGTGAGATGAGCGGCATCATGAGGAACATGTTCCGACAAAGGGATAGGACCCTTCTGCCCGTCGATGTGCACATGACGGGCCAGATGCTGGGCACTCTAATGCAACAGGACAAGGATGCGGTTGTCAGTGTGGACCTGCTCAGTGTCTGCAAGGAGATAATGTCCTGTGACTCTAAGGTGCTCCAGTTATCGGCCAAACTTAATGCCACCAACTCCCTTTTGAGCCAATTTGAAAACTACATGGACGCTCTCCCGGACCAAATGGTTCCCAAGGAAAGATGTGGAGAAGTGGTGGCCAAGCCAACTAGTGATGAAACTGAAACGGCGACCACTGGAGTGGAAACGTACGACTTCGCTGATATTGGAGTCCAAGCCTTAATTACCAGCAACATTAGCGTGTTCTTCGCCAATCCAGATTGCGGCAGTATTACTGGCATAGCCATATATTCGGCTCCAGCTGAGGATCGAACAACTTCCGCCAGTGGCTTCTATTACCGCTTTATAATGTTCACTGATGACTTGGCTGAAATAAAGCAAGAGTCCCATCTGGAGACAGCTGCCTTCCTGCCGAAGTATCTCTGGAGGGAGGTGAAAAACAGGGGAGCTACGTATCTTATTTTCAAAGTCTATTCCCACGATGCTCTCTTCGTGGAAAACTCAGAGCAACGCAATCGCAGGCCTCGCAGCAAGGTGATCTCCATTTCAATTCCGGGATTGGATAGTAAGTATATTTTGCCCAACTTTTAATTTGAATAAAAAGAATATCACTTTATTTAACAGACAACAAACTTACTCTGCCGTTGCCCATTCTGCTTCGGAATGAAAACCTTCGTGATCCAGATACCAAGGCCCTTAGTTTGGGCAGTGGATGTGGCTATTGGAACTACGAGACCTGGCTGAGCGAGGGAGTCACTACCAGTGGCAGTTCAGATCTGCTCACTGATCCCATCATCGAGTGCCATACGTACCACCTCACTCAGTTCGCATTTCTGGTGGGTGGCAGCTATCGCACCAACGACCTTGGAGAGCAGGTTCTGATCACTCCCATTAATGCGAAAGTGCTGGACATTATCTCGATCGTGGGATGCAGCCTTTCGCTGCTGGGAGTGCTAGGCATTTTCCTCACAGCAGCTCTTTTTAAGAGTTGGCGCAGTCAGGCCTCCACGAAGGTTCTACTCCACCTTTGCCTGGCCATGGGGCTTCAGATGGTGCTCTTCGTGTTCCTGAACACAGATGATATTTCCGAAGAACTGGTCGCCAATGGAGACACAGTCCGTTGTGTGGCCCTGGGAGCTGCCATGCAGTACTCCATTCTAGTGCTCTTCAGTTGGATGCTGATCATCGCCTTCCTGCAGTTCCAGCGCTACGTGACCGTCATTGGAATCGAAAGACCCCGTCACTATATCCTCAAGGCTGCCCTTGTGGCCTGGTCACTGCCACTGGTTCCCACCCTGCTGGTGGCCCTGATAGACCCAGATTCGTACATTCCCACGACTGAGCAACTGCAAACGGACACCGGAATCTGCTATCCATCGGGTTATGGTCTGATCTTCGGAGTGGTCCTCCCAGTGACCCTCATCACGATGTCTAACCTGGTGATCTTCGTTTATGTGTTCTACAGCATCTCGCACTCGTTGAGCCAGAGCGTTCACAAATCCGAAAGGAGAATGGTGGTCAAGCAGATTCGACTGTCCATAATGCTTTTCTTCTTGCTGGGTCTCACCTGGATCTTTGGAATCTTCGCCTTCATGAAGGCGGGAGTGGCCTTCTCGTATCTCTTCTGCATCACGGCCACCATGCAAGGATTCGTGATGTTCGTCTACTTCGTCCTTTTGGACTCAGCGAACCGACGGGCGTGGGTGGGTCTCATCTGCCCCACCAAGATGGAGTTGGATGTCGTGAAGCGCACCACCGAGCTCCAGTCCATGACCACCTCATCCACCAACTACACGAGCAGATCGCAGAATTAGTTACATCCTCTTCGAAAATCCCAACGAACAAAAGGTCCAGAACCGTGTATAAATGTGTATTCTTATTTATTAATTACCTTATAATTTGCCAATATTTATAGTTTCTTATTTAACTAGTAGATTTGTATATTATTGTTCAACACACGAATAAAAAACTTATGACGCATAAAAATATTTATAGTTTTATTTATATTAATGGTGTTCTGAGGGATGGTCATTATCATTTTAAATCAAATTGCACTTTGTTTGCCATTTAATAAAAGAATGAGAATAACAAAAACAAGGCACCTTTAAATTTATTTGACACTGCACAACTTCCTTCTCCAGCTTTGAAATACCCCAGTTCGTACTTGTGTTGGCAGCCAATTTCTTTGCAATCGAACATCACAGTAACTGGCAAAACAAGCTGAGCACCTGGTAGGTGTTGAAGCCATAAAAATTTAAGCAAACTTGAGGCATCTGTGTTCACTTCAAAGTGCCATTGCTATTGCCATTCATTTAAAACTAAATTAAACGATGTCATGTGGAATGAAATGAATTCGGAGCCAAGCTCAATTGGTGTTTACCCACTTTTACTGGTTCAACCTCAAAAGTTTTCCCCCAAAGCTCTCGTTCCTTTCTAAGCCCACGTTTTAAACTACTCGTGCTTAAATCTGGCTTAGCCCAGAGTACCATTGCAATTCCATTTGATGCACTAAATTGCACTTCTAAGTGGTAGCTCGTAATACTATTACTTTTATTGCTTTATTGTGTAACACATATTCGCCAGTTATTGGCCAATTAAAGCTAGCGATTAAAGTAGAAATATTATTACATTGTCTGATCAAATATTCAAACCCATGCAGTTATGCTAATTTTTAACAACCTTACAATAGCTTAATTAAAATGTTTGTAATTACAAAAGCCCTTTAGTTTAATTTGTAATAAATAATAACAATATATTTTCTTATTGTTCTGACTGGCTAGTTTGGTTTATTTATTAAAATAAAACATTCAATCTCAACTAAGCAAGAGTGCTCAGATGGGGGAAATGAAAATCAATCGATTTTTGGCCGGGAGCCGCCCATTTCAATTTCGAATTTTCCACTCTCGCCATGTTTGGCACAAACAACCCGGTACATATATCAATTGCAATCAATCAAAAAGTGAAAAGCTTCGAAGCCTTGACTGCATTCAAATGCAGAGACAATGAAAGTGAAAGCAGAACCGGAGCAATTTGATTTCCCATCTGCAGGGCTTCACTCTCCAGCTGCCAAGTGTTCTCTAGGATTCAGTGGAAAACTTCACTCCGATTCAGAACTTCTGCCAATGGAAGCTGAGCACCTGTTAAGTGCCGAAGCACTGCACTTTTTATGCTTTATTCCAGAAGCAATCATTCGAAAACTAAATTAAACTATGTCAAGTGGAATGAAGTGAGTTTCGACGTAAACTTGAATGCGTTTCAGCCAGTAATTTGACCTTAAAGGTGGTCCATCAAACTCTTACCTTTCCTTCGAACTCTCCTTTGTTGGTTAAGAATTACTTTTTAAATTAGTCGTCACTAATGCCATTGGCTGTCTTTTTGAACCGACTTAGTGGCAAATGCCGTGCGATTTCAAATCAATTTTCTGCGGGAAAGTGCACTCCTAAAGAGATCCCCTAAGCCGATTACCGCCAACAGCGACCAACTGTAGCATATAACTAAGCTGTCTGCAGAGGTATTGTGTTACCCGATCCATGTACGTTGAGGTGGGGAAACTAATTGTTGCTTAATAATGCAGTTTTGAAGGGCAACAGCTTAATAGGAATTGTGGCAGTAAGAGGATTGCCAATAGGGAAGGTAAAAATCATTTTCCGTTTAAGAAAATACTTTAGACTAAGCCACTGAAAACGATTATTTACAAAAGGGTTGTTCAAGAATATAGTATAAATAAATACTCTGTGTACTTACAAAAACGAATAAATACAAATAACAATTATTATAAAATATGAAAGAAAATACCTGACGCTTAAGAATTTCTAGATATAAAAACTCCTAGGCTTGGACTTCTCTGGAATAACACTTTTGCCCTTTGAAAGCTCACCTGTTTGCAGTATTGCAGCATTTTTGCACATTCCCAAACACACCCAAAAGGATAGGCGGGGACATGTGGCACTATTAAAAATTATTTTCCTTTGCGAATTCCTGAGGGTGTACGGGAAAGTATTTTATGATTCGAGACGTGCAAATGGCCAGCCTGTGAAGGAGTTCCTACGAAAGCCATTCCGTAGGACATAGCACACCCGTATGTGCGGCTGATATTTCGTACGTGCACCCACAACATGAACCCATAAATATGTATTGATTTTCCATTCCGGAGGAGTAAGGAAAAGTCCTCGAGACGCAGGAGCGGCAACAATGGCAACCAAAGGCTCCAAGACAGAGTTATGATTATGAAAGTTTTTGAAAGCGTGGCAAAAGGGGGCAGCACACAAAATGGAAAATAAATGCGAGAAATTTGCCGCAATTTGCGACGCCATGCCGAGTCACTGAACCGCAAAGCTGCAGAAATGTTGTTTATCAAATATTTATCGCATTCACATACCGCTTTTCCCGGGCAAATTGCAGCCAGACATGCAAATGGCGGTGGAATGCAGTCGAGGAAGACAAAGAGGGACTCCAGTTTCTCATCGGCAATGAGAAATTGCCTGTAATCCAAGTGAGACATGTCTACATCACGAGTTCATTAATTCCCCGAGAATAATACAGTGCCGCAGTACCCCGAATCCAGCAGAGCCATATGGTTCTGCTCCATTTGGCCTGACTAATGGGCTAACATCGCCGATTCTGCTGCCAGTGGCATGTGTGCTGCGTTCTGCGTTCTGCGTGGCGAAATTGTGCAAAACGCTCATAACAAATTTGGTAGATGTGCGGAAATTTGTCAAGAGCATTTGCCACAGCAAACAAACATGCGACTTACCCGCATGTGTGGCATTCCGTCCGAGTGAATTTGTATTAAATCCAGGGCGCAAAATTAAAATCTTATATCCAAAACATATAATTGCATGTAGAAAAATATATTAAAAATTGTATAATTTCAAAAATAAATCCTTTAGATAATAATATGGTTATAATATACATTTTTAAATCAATGGTTCAATAATTTCAATAAATAAATAAGATAAATATCATTTAACCATATATAAACATTTGGATTTGTGGGTACAAATAGTAGAATTTTTGTGTAGAATTTCTATATTAAGTAGATCTTTACGATTTTAGATTTAATTTTCATATGGAAAATAAGCTACCTATGCCTTAAAACAAAATATAAAACAAAGTATAAATTATTTTAAACACTAATTATATAAAATGTACATAATCTTCACGGTTTAGTTATTTGCTGAAAAATTATGTGCAGAACAATAACGAAATGTGATTCCAGCAGCAGGTGAAACTGGCTGCCAGAAACTATGGCCAAAGGCACTTGACCAGCCAATTAAAGCTGCCAAAAACTAATGCCACCCCAAAACTACGGTTGTTGGTTTATGGCTGCCAACTGGCCGCGAAGGACCCACTCGAAATATTCCACAATGTGCCAACGAAATCGAGTGACTGTAATTTCACCGAAGTGAGAGGAAAAAACCCTGGGCCAATTAAAAACCATCGCTCTACTCCCACCGAATTCGCCAAAGGGTTTGGGTTGAATCGAAATTTATTATCAAACAAATGGCAACAGCAGCTGCGGCTTTAATCGGCTTATAGACTTTAAGGCCGCTAAGCCTTTGCGGCCTAATTGTAAGGGACACTTGACACACAAAAAGGACTGCCCTCATCAAAGAAAGTATTTTTTAATATTTTAATTGGCAAAAAGGCAAATGAAAATTGTCGCCAGCAGCAAGGGAAAAATAATTTAATATTGCAAAAGTTTGGTGGGGATTAATGAACATGTTGTGCACAAGTTGGGGCTATCTAAACTTGACCTGTGACTGGTTTTCCCATAGAAATTTATCAAAATCGGAAGTAAATAATGGAAATACAAAAATTAATTTACTTTGTTATTTTAAAGATTATAGACATAAATTTACCGATACAGATAAAAGGGATATGGAGATACTGATAAAATGAAGCCGCTAGTATCTAATCTTTTGAAGTCTCATGTTTGTTTTTCTACAGCTTCTTACTTAGTATTTCTTTAACTGCCTACCAATGAAGTCGCGGTTCTTTCTGTAGAATTTCATTTCGAAGCAGAAACAGATTTTTCGCGGCGAAACATTCATAAATCATCCGAAAAAGTGAGACTAAGGAACATTTGTGTGTACTTGCGTCCCTTTTGCCATTTCATCTTGGAATAATTAAAGCAAACAGAAATGAATTTGTGCACGTGCTGCGTTTAAGAAATGGCTTTTTCCCTCCATTCTCTGGGGCGCTCTTGACTTACCCGACTTTTCTGGCCTTTTATGTTTTGGCTGGTATTCTCTCCTGCCAGCCCCACATATTCTTTTTCTTTTTAATTTTCGCCCGAGTTTGCACAAGTTGCCCCATGCCATTGCCATTTGTTGCTGCTTTTTGTGTCAACAACACAAAGCCGCACACATCGCCAACAGTTGCCCCATTCCGGTTTCATGTTGCGCAACGCAATCCAAGACAATAGTTGCACGAACTTAGCATGTATGTTGCATTGCAGGACGAACTCCTTTCGGGCATTCATATCTGCCAGTCGGTCGTTTGGGGCTTAATATGCCCCGCCGGTCCTTTGTTTTCCCCGCCAGTTGCTGAAACAATGAAACGCAAAGCGGAAAAGTTTACAATTAGCTTGTCAACAATGGCCAGGCGTACGCTGCGTATGCGTGATGTGCTCATAATGGCGGATATCCGCAGTGAACCCTCTATTTTCCATAGTTTTTGAGATTGAGAAAAAAAGATTCAACTTTTTTGTAATGAAAAAATATCGTATGTTAAGCAATAGTATTTTTATCAAGATTTTTACAAAAGAATAGTTTTTTTAAAGGCTTTAGACAAAAATGTTTAACTATTCCAGCGGTTAATAAAACCGCCAAGCATCTTAGTGAATCCCCTTTGTCGTAACCCAAGTAAAAACCCCAAAAATAATTGCCAAATTGTTTTGGTAAACGTTTTTCGTGCCAAGCTTAAATCTTTATGCATATTTCATGCTGTCGGCAGCCCCAAATGAGGGGAAAATAGTGATGTAATAAAAAGCGCGAAATAAGGGCCCGAACGTTAAGGAGCACTGGCAACATGTTGCCGGAAGTGTTAGCCTGCAATTTACACAGGAAAAGTTTTTCGCTTGTCTCAGCTCCAGCTTTTCTTAAAAGTTAGTGATGGTGGAAATTGTGTGCGCACAAAGAAAACCATTCTGAATCCACGTGCAAAAGGGCTATGGGAGGGGCCATTCCAATAATATATGGAGATATAAACATATAAATCTATTTAATACCCTTACTTGTTTGGGTTTTGTTTTTTGGAATGGAAAGAATTAAATAAATATGTTAAGGATTGTGAAAGTTATGATTGCTTTGGAAAGCTCTAATATAAAATATGATGTTATAGTATTCGCGATCTATTCAAAAATTTGCAATGCCTACTGATTGTGTAAGCATACAATCATCCAACGTAGATTTTATCAAGCATCCGACCAGTTGGCAACAAAAAATCCCCTTATTACGTACCTACCTATCATTTAAAATCTATTAAAACACCAAACTAAGCTATATAAATTCAGTTCGTGATCGAAGCTCAAATGGAATAGAACTCGGAGTTCTGCTCTCGCGTGGCCTGAGTAAACAATAAAGTCAGCGAAGCGAAAAGTCCGATTCAGGTTAAATAATTTACTATTTAAAATCTGATGTTAAAGTTACAAAAACAAATTATACAAAAATGAACAGATTAAATGAAACTATAAATTTTATTTAATACATAAATATATAAAGCTCAAACAAATAATTACTGCTCCAATAGAGGGACAAAAACTTAATTATAGAAAATTAAATTATTTATATAAGTACTATAAATTTAATAGCCCTCAATTTGTGACTGGTGATGAAAGTGAATAAAGTCTAGTGAATTAAATTTATTCTGGCTCCTAAACAAGCTCAATAAAAATGGTTGAAAAGACCTCTTTGGCCCAACTGAAAAGTCTGGAATGGGGGCGTCTCTTCAACATGTTCTACATAGAACCAGTTATTTTCATGTTAATTTTCTCGCACATGCTGTCAGGTGAGTGGAACTTCAGATAATAATGATATATCTACATCAGGGTCTGCCCATTAGGCACTGTTATGCGGAATCAGTTGATATATCAGACCTGTACGGTGATCTTTGAATATAATGAAACCGACTGTAAGCTTTTGGACAGCAAAAACACAACCGCAGATATACAGGTGAGCTTACATATATAACATTACATAATAAATATTTAACCAGGTTTGAGTTTACAGGCAATTGAGACGCAGCTGCAGTCATATGTGGCTAATATGTTCCTAACCCGAACCCTTTTCGAAAGTATTGTCCCTGCCATTTGTGGCTTATTTATTGGTTCTTGGTCGGATCATTATGGACGCAAGCCCCTGTTGATTGTCTCCATGGTTGGTGAGTTTTCTAGGAATAGTGTTTGGTATGGACAAATTTGAAACCATTTTCCTCTCAGGCTTTTCTGCTTCTGCTCTGCTCTCCTCCGCCATTTGCTGGCTGTCCAGTTACTATATGGTTAATCCCTGGTGGTACACCTTGGCAGCTCTGCCACACTCTCTGCTCGGCGGCTTATGTGTCTTTTCGGTGGCTGCCTTTTGCTTTATTACGGACACGACGGACATGAAGACAAGACCCTACAGGTGAGAGTTATTTATTCTTAAATAAGCCCAAACACAATGAAAAGGCAAAGGCTTTTAGACTTGGCCCTCAGCCATTTATGGTTTGTAATCTTTTAGAAAAAATGGAACTCAAAATTCACAATTATTTTGTAATGCGTGTTGTTTATTCAGTGGTTGCATCAAAAGTGAGTTCATTCTCATTATTCTATTAAAACAAACGGATAGACAGACAGATATGGCTATATTAACTCGTTTAGTCATGCTGATCAATAATATATATACTTTATAATACCCTCTGCAAGGGTACAAAAATAACAATTGTTTTGTTTTACTAAAAAGTTCATTACAATGCTGTTATTAAGAATTTCTTTATAATTGGAATTATTTTTTGTATCTTTATTTCAGAATGATTTTTATGGAGTTAATTCTTTTTGTAGCCCTCACCAGTGGCTCATTACTGTCCAGTTTCGTTTATGCGGCCACAAGTGCTGCCTTCGTACAGAGTCTATCCTGCTTGATCGTCATATCGGCCACACTTTTCGTTATTTTCTATTTACCCGAAAGTTTGGGAATGTGTCCGGATTTGGAGGAAACTGCCGAAAAAGAAAAGGAAATTGTTATAACTGTTTCAGATCAGAAAGTGGTCGATGTTTCCACTGATTCCCTGGAGAAGCGAGTTGATCCGCCCAAATATGAGACTATAGATAAACCTCCAATTGAGGACAAAAACGACAAAGCTGGTTTGTTCAGTGTGAAACACGTTAAAGATATGTTTACCACGTGCTTTAAAAGGAGGGAAAACAATGCCCACACTATCATTTGGTTGGTCACTTTGGCCGGCTTTGTTTCGATTTTTGTTGCCGGTAAGCCTGCCTTTTTTTTCTGGGAAATCCAATGATTGAGGTGATGATATCTTTGCAGATGGCGTCATGACTGTGATGTATTTATTTGTACGCCAACAATTTCACCTGACAGTGCGTGAGTTTACTATTTTTGAGACAGTCAGTCAATCGGTTCCCATGCTGGGAGCTCTTTTGGGTATTCTTATTTTGAGAAAGGTAAGTAAATTTACTCTCACTATGTAATTAATTAATCTTTCCATCTATATTTATAGCTTTTCGGGCTGTCTGTGGTGTCATTGGCATTGCTGTCGCTAATTTCTGAGATCCTTAGCAATATTGCCAGAGGTTTTGCTTCCTTAACCTGGCACTTGTATCTCTCTGTTGCTTTGGGCGTCTTTCGCTCTATCCAGGGCCCCATGTGTCGCACAATTGTCTCGAATATAGTTCCATCTTCCGATACGGGTAGGAAATAGTTAGAAAATAATAACAGCCACTTTTATATATAAGTTCCAAATCTTTGCAGGTAAACTGTTTGCAATTGGCAACATTGTACAATCGTTCGCCCCCTTCGGTAAGTCACAGTCCCCTTGAAGATTTGCCCCATTTATCATCATCTATTTCCAGTCGCCGCTCCTCTTTATACTGCCATCTATAAGAGTTCCCTGGCCAGCAATCCTGGAGGATTTAATTTCCTTAGCGCCGCCTTCTACTTAATAGCATTTATCCTCATTGGGTGAGTGTAGCGGCTATCCATTCCTGGCACTAAATGATTTTGAATAAATTTATTGCAGCTGTGTGATGCGAATTAAATTCAAGCACCGAAAGTTCTACGCCAAGACGCTCAAGTAGCCAAAATCAACTGAATTTCCATCAATATTGATTGTGGCAAGTTTGGCAACTTTTCGGAGCTTTGTTTACGCTCAAGTCGAAAACTTTGTGTGGACAGCATTAAATAACTGGATTTATGTGAACGAGTTCTTTTGTGCTTTTAGCTAATCTAATTTGCATACCGCAAGGGTAATTGTCAACGGTCTAAAACTACATCATGTAAATGTATTAACCAACGTCCCTCAGCCATTGAAACTAATCAAATTCCAAAATGTCATGTTCTTCATTGCAAACCATTTATCGAACTATTTTATTACATCAACTGGACATAAGTGAGTACTTTGCCATGCATTTCCGAACGAAATTGGATATAATTGCCGTCCATGTGTAATGCATTGTTGTGGCTACAATTTCTGGTCCAGGGTCCTTGTTGTTTTTGCTGCAGGGATACATGCGTTATGCATAAGCTTTTAATAGTGCATAATTTATGGGGCAAAAGTTTGCGCAACATATTCGTGAAGTTCAAACATATTTGCCGAATCATTTGGACTCTTATTGTGACTTTGTCACGTACCGCATGAATTCGTAATGTCGCCAATGCCAAAAGTTCGGAGGACACACAATTTGCAGCAATTTGAATTGTTAAACGTCAGCTCTCGATGATTAAATATTAAATTCCGGCTCTATTATGCGCACAAAGGTATGCCATGTGTGTGTGTGGGCGTCCTTCTGCCCTCCTGCCCCACGTGGCCACATCCAAGCCCCAGCAATCAGTATCGGGTTAACTTAACCCCACACCGGGAGCAGAAATTGGCGAACCGAAACCGAACCATCAAATCACAGTCTTGTCTGCGGAAAAAGCATTTGTCGTGCGGCATTAAAGTCGAGGGTGCTTGAAAGGCGCTTTAATATCGCCACGCGTGCAACAAATAAACGAATTCGCAGGACATGAACTTTGCACTTGCACTTTGGAACCCTTGAACACGCCAACTTAATGGGGGTGTCTTTGTTGGCTTACCAAAAGCGTTAACCATAAAGGGGAAACTTTGATGCGGATGCATGTGCTGCCAGCGAGTAAGCGTTTAACATTTCCCTTTTTGCCGTGGCACTGATGGAAAATTTCACAAATTCTACGAATATTAAATTACATGCCTTGACATTAACGGAAAATAAGTTTATTGATCATAAATAGCTATAGTTTAGTTAGTTCGCAAGGAACCTTAGGTTGAGAAGTTGATCTTATCATTAAAATAAATTCCCAAAATACCCTTTTTTTTTATTTTCCTAAAAATTAGATCCTTCTTAATCTTAAGTTTAAGTAACATATAAAACTTTAAGTAGTTACAACCAAGATACGACCACTTCCGCTTGCAATGATTGATGGGCATTTTAGTGATTCGAGGGCGGGCGCTTCGAAGGGGCGACAACACGGCGTATACGTAATCGTTTATTAAACAAAACAAATTATGAGCTGCCAGCGGGCCCAAAAACATGCAAGTGTTGACGAAGGTCAAGTTTAGCCGTTGCTGTTGCCGTTGCTGTTGCCGTTGCGATGGTTTTCCAAGCTGTCAAAAGAGCAAAAGAGCACTGGGAATACGTAAGTCCTTACGTTATTACGTATACGCAGAGTGCTCTCAATTTTACATTGACATTTCGCTCTCACTTCGCTGCCAGAGCTATAAAACCCGAGAACCCAACCGAAGTCGAGTTAGTTTGCTGAAGACTTCGACACGAACCGGTCGCCAGTTTTCCCTGACTTTTCCGACTTCGCTTATCGTCGGTCCTCGCCTCATTTTTCGTAGCCTGCTTATCAGCGCAAGAAACGCGTCGCGTGGAAATGCCGTCGGTGGAAATGCAGTTGGCATAATCCGTTGCCTATTTCAGTGCTCTGCAACATATCAACGGGAATTTTCTGACAGCTCATTAATCAGGCTCCTGCACTCCTGCAGCCATGTTTTGGATTTTACGGCGCACTGGCGCCGCCAACTTCTTCAACTCCTTCAACAACAACTGCAGCTTCTCGAAGGGCAATTCGAACGGCGGTAATCACAGCAACAGCACTCAAGGTGAGTCCCCGACACCTGGGCAATCAATTAGGCCAGTTCACTGCTGCAAAAGTCCGCCCTCAATTAGGATAATTCATCATCAATTAGCGGAATAATCAGATTAACTCTCAAACATGTGCGTGAGTCCACCATAAAAAGCTGAAATCCTGATATGGATGTCAGATAAGTTTAGGATCGCTTTATAATTCTTTAGATGTGATAAAAAGAAACTAATTCAATAAACTAACTACGAAAAAAAATGGCACATTAAAGCTTTAATATCATTTTTAGGACCTCCAGAATATATTGGTACTATAAACTAAAATTATAGTTATATTGATTAAGTACATGCAACATAGTTTTGTTTTAAGCCGACCTAAGAGTTATTTTGAATCACTTAAAATTTATTGATACTAAATTTCAGCCATCAAGATGATGTAATAAATGACGTTACAATATGTTAAGCATAGAATTAGCATTTCATTGAAAATTACACAGAATCCATCATCCTTTCAAAGAGCTGATTGTTTGCTAGCTCTGAAAGGCAAATGGTATCGAATGACAATCTTGACTAATCACAGTTGCGATTCATATTTTCTCAGAACGTTTAAGTCAATTGCCCTGTCAATGTTAAGATGAATTCAGATTTCCACGAAGCCTAATACCGGAGGAAGTCCCAGTTTCTTATGCCAGACATGTTCCAGTTGAGGCCCGGCTTTTATTCATAAGCCAAGTCCTCACTCGTTATCAAAACAAGTTAATTAAAATTCTCGAAATAACTTGTGGAATATAGGCGGCCAATATATGTATTTTGTACTTGCCTGCAAACTCCTGTTGTGTGGCATTATCTGTGAGGAAAAGTGGGATAAACCTGGGGGAAAAATGTGGGAAAACTGGGGGAAACAAAGTAAAGTAAATAACATGGAGGCCCTACAACCCACGCAATAATGAGGCAACGCACGTGTGTGCGAAGCAGAAAACGTGGTGCGGATGTGACTGTCGAACAGAAACACTTTGGGCTTCGGTCCCAAGATGGTTTAGTCTAAGCGCCAGGACTCGCACCCTCCAAAAAAAAATCCGGGAGATAGAAAAAAGGGAACGTGGTTCCAGGGGGAGGATTTTGCTGCAGGCTAGCAATCGAAATTTTTGTTTGCTTTTGTTCAATTTTCCACGCAAACTTCAAGAGCTCATATTTTCTTTTGAATCTATGCCATAAATGCAAAATAATTGGTTTTTTATAATACTAATTTCAAAAAATCATTAGTTTGGTCACTATCATAAAAAGAAAGACAATCATAACTTTCAATAATCATTAAAAAAAATTATTTCTTTTGCATATCTATATCACAAAAACCCTAATGATATGCATACAAAAGTGTTAATGGTATGAAAACAAAATTATAGGCATACATATGTATTTTCATAGTTTTCCATTTTTCGGTATTATTTATTAATTAGTAAAATCTCACGTAATAAATTAAAAGCAAACATGGGCAAAATGCAATTAAAATGTTAATCACGAATTTTAAATTATGTTTGCAAAACTTTCTTTGTTTGTGGCAAACAGCATAGTTTTTGGCAGTATTGATTTTTCCTGATTGAATTTGCTTTTCGCAAATTGGAAACTTTTCGCTATTTGTACGTATAATTATGTTTTAAAAATGCTGAGTGCATAAAATCAATTGTGCCATATAAGTTAGCTAAAAGGCTTCTTGGCGTTGATTTACCACTGCCAACAGCTGTTGTTGAGGAGAAAAACAAGTCCACTTTATTTGCTGCCACCCACTTTATAATAATTATAAATAAGGTTTACAAAGAAATACACGATATATTTAATGACTTTTTTCCAGCGAATGCATAAAAATGGATTAAAAAACAATGTGTTTAATGTCATGGCAATAATTGAAAAGTTTTTCGCACATCGCAAATTGCCATTACTCACTTTGCAAATTCACAAACATTTATGACATTAATAGCAACGACAATTTCTCCAATCACTTGTGGCAGGCGCGAAATTTAATCGTAAAAATTTTCATTTGCCGTGAACAAATATCAACAAAAAACAAGGAGGCAGACGCCGCCCTTAAGCTTTTGTCAACATATGTATTGTTGTTCGCACAAAAGGGGAGGGGCGGGGAAGAGGGATGGCTGAGAATTATATGTGATATGCAAATTCTGGGCAACATATGGCTGCGGCATTAACCGATAATTATGACAGCCATTTGTCATTGATAATAATGCGTTTGTGCATTCAATTTGTGGAATCTGCGCGGGCAAAATTGTAAAACAAGTAATGGCAATTAGCCGAGTCGTGTGGTTATGGGTGCGGTGTGCGTGTGTCTATTTAACAAATGTGTCCAAATTATTAGCAATAACATTATTATTATTAGCTACTTGGTAATTAATGGGAAAAACTAGTGAGAATGCTGTTTTATTTTCTAGCAGTTTACAAACAAAATAAAGCAATAATCTGCCTAGAATTTAAAGTGAGAATAACTTTTTCTTGATTTGATCATAGAAATCTAACATATGCTATCTTTTAACAGTTGAACTTTAAGTAGGAATATAAAATACTTATAAGCCAATTATTGTAATCAATAAATAAGTTAGTTAAAATTATGCTCTTGGGACTGTATGGTTAAAAAACTCAAAAAGATCGAATGTTTTTGCATACTTTCGTTCTGCAATATATTTTTTAACTATTTTTCTAATGGTCACTCTATTATTTTGTGCACATCTGTTTTGTGCACCCAATTAGCTGGAGGTCCTGCAGAATGTATGGGTTTTCGGTTTTGGTTTTTTTCAGTTTTGTTTGCTTTGGTTTTGCTGGGTTCTGCTCACTAGCCATCAAATGTGGCTCGCTTTGGCTGCCGGCATCATTAGTTCGTGCTCTTGGCCAGACATCAGAAATAAAATAACAACGGGGCAAGCAAAATGTATCATAAATTATGGTTGGCATTTCGCCTTGCTTCGAAAACGAGTGTGTATCCCTGAACCAGCATGAGAAGAATTATTAGGCATTTATCTGGCGTATTAATATCGCCGTCCTGTCTGCCTGGTACGCAGCTTTTCAGAGCCATGATTTATATTTTCTTGCCGGCGGGCGGCATCATTTGTAATAATTTGTGCTGTAATTCTAAAGTAAAATCGAGAGAAACTTTTATCTTTCGAGATTACGAGTCCGGGCAAACTTAAAGCCCTTAGTCATAAATTTCCGTCCAAGTCCCAGACCAGCAAACATTGCGTTAAATGTTTGCGGTCCGCAATTTGGCGTTAAAATTGAGTTTTAGTTTCCCTCACAGTCTGGCGCGTATTTGACACCACTCTCGACTGGCTTTCCTCTACTTTTTTACTCCTTCCGTCATTTCCTGCGAATGTTTGCTCCACATATGCGTTTTTTATTTCTTTTTCTGACACACTTTTCATATTCATGGTCGTTTTTTTCTTGCCAGCCATAAAAATAGAAGCTCTTAATGGTTCTATATTTGTGAGTTAATAATAAAGTAACTACAAGCCATATGAGAGATTCCGTATCAAAGGCATAAAACTAAAAAAAATTATTTTGTGTTATTATATTATAACTTTTTGGAATACAAAACATTTTATTATATATATTTCTAACCAATTTCGATCGGTAATTTATGGGAACAAGTGAAAACTACCTTAACTTAGTTATTATGAACCACAACGAAAAAACGAAACACTACAGAAAAGAGAGACTTTATTATTGAAACCTGTCGGAGCAGTAAAAATAATAGTTTACTTGAACATTTAAAGTGCGATTAGAACATCTGAATTGGCAATTTCGTGTCATCACGTATACGCTCTGTTGAACCCGCTTGCAATTAAAGCCAGCACAAAGGCAAGCCCACATAATGAGCTGCTAATGGCTGCTCGAACGGCTAGTGTGCCATAAAAATCCAGGGGCCAAGTCAGCATACCATCTATTTTTGGGTCCGTAAATAAAGGCTTTTCAGGATCTCACCGCCAGGCACTATTTATTGTCTTTTCCCCCCAATCACGCACAATGCACAAACAAAGCCCACAATAAATCTTATTTTATCACTTCGAGACTTCGAGGGCATGCAGGCAAAAACAGGGAAGTGCGGAAACCTTTTGTCTCAACGGCAGGGCTCTTTTTAAACTCACAAGCGGCACAAAAGCCTCCATAAATTGCCTGATGCATTGAGGAACATTTCTCAATTTTCATACTGAGCAATAACAAAGAAAGTATCCCGTAAAGCGGAAACAAAAGTTATACGCAGGAAAAACTAATGCATTGCAGTGAAAATATGTTCGTGAGTTTTTGACAGCACAAACAATTCATAGGCAATCAAGAAGCGATTGAAATGGTTTGTTCTTTCGAAGAATGGGGAAAAATATAACAAAGTAAGATATGTTTTATTCCAGTATATTTATGTGGAAACTTTAAACTTTTAGTAAGCAGTTCCTCTATTCCTTTTTTCATGGAAATTTATTTGAGTTCGTATGCACTCTTTTGAATGGTAGAATTATTTTATTTTATTTTTCACCATTTTTTATGAGAGTTAAGTTGAACTTCGTAAACAAGTTAAAAAAATATTTATATATATGTATATATATACTTTCGAAAGCTCCTTCACATTTCATCTTTAAATAATCAATAGAAATGTATATTTTCACTAAAGAAAAAAACCTAACATGCTAAACCATAACTAGAAGACTCCACAAAAGCAAACAATATCATCGTTATCGAGCTCAAAGCCCCTGGGCTCTTGTGCTACATTTTCAGCAGAATGTTTTGTCAATACGAAAAGTCTTTTATTTAGCAAAGTTTTTCATGCATTTTCCACCTCATTTTATGGCAGACAAATATGTGAAGCGGCCCCCACGGAAGGCATATGGACGACTGAGTGCCGAGGCCGACGATGCCGTGTCACTTGGCCACAAAATCGATGATCCGTTCGATGAGCTGGACGACTTTGAAATGCTGGCAGCGAACTCCAGTGGCAGTCAACCCAACAATGAGCCACCTGGTGAAGCCAATGGCAACGTCAATGTCAACAGCCGTTCAAGTTCAGGAGGAGGAGGAGGAGGCTGTGGGAATGGGAATCTGAATGGGAACGGGAACGGGAACGGGAATGCCAGCCTGTCACTCCTGCCCTGCACGGATGCCGATTGCCAGGGCAACTACGAGGTGGAGAGCGCCCTCTGCGAACTGGGCTTGTGCCAGGCGAAAGCCAAAACATCAAAGGACCTCGGTGCAGGGAGCACGTCGACATCGAAGGAGATTAACGAAAACACAATAAGTCGGCTGCATGCGTTGGCCATGGCCGATGACGATGATGACTACGGTGAGTGCCAGCTTTATAATGGACGTCTGATGAGGCGACGGTGCAGCTGGGCGTGGTACAGTGTAGAGTCCGTAGAGTGAACTATTTAAATTCCCCTTTGAAAGTTAAACTTGGTCTGGAACAGACTTCTAGCGAAAACGAAATCACGTTCAAACTAACATCTTTGAAAAGAGTTCTATACTAAATACTTGAATACTTGATTAATTAGTTTTTTATTCTTTACTTTATTATTGGAAGTTATTGTGAACAATGCTAAATGTTTTCGCCAAATTCAATCTGAAATAATTCAGTAATATTTAAAAACAATTTTTTTCATTTCTACTAAAGTTTAATTACAGCTAAATGTCAAAAAAAATTCTTTTGTGCATTAAAATAACATTCCCATTCAATATAATCAATATAGAACACCTGAGCAAGTCTGTGCCACTCATTCTTTAGTGTATTGAAATTAAACCTCTTATAGCCTCTTACCTGCTTACCTTTTTACTGTCTCGGGTGTCAGTCCTATTTATATTTCCCCAATTTCCAGATGAGTCACTTACCTGCAACGTGTGCGACCGAGCTTTCCATTGTCACCGGCAGCTGGCATCGCACCAGCAGAAGAAGCGGCACTTTGGGTAAGGGAAATGCACTTAATTAAGCTAGTTCTCAGTCTTCATCTGCTTTTCCGCTTTTCCCGGGTTCCTGCTTTCCCACCACCAGTTGCAGTGGCTGCGATAGTTTGTTTCCCTCGCTAATGCTGCTGGAACACCACAAGGAGGAGTTCGAGCACTGGAGTGACGAGGAGATGGGGCGCCGGGTCTGTTGTCGGAGGAACAGGTGCGACGACGACTACTTCACGGACACCGACTCCTTCATCAGCGACGCGGAGAGCGAGGATCTGGAGAGGTTGTTGTAGGCACCGAACCCAAGGTCGGAACCAGGGAAAGCGACTGAAGGGGTGGCGGGGGAAGGGGCAGGGGCAGGACTTTATTTGAATCATCCCGGCCGAAAAGTAGCCCAACCATCCCCATTAATGCTGGGCGGAATATCCTGCGGCGCCAACTGGAATGGAAGGACAGCGGGAGGACAACGGACTTGGGCGCTCCTCTTCTGATGAAGATTGACACACGGGGCGGACCGCTTGTCGCCCTAATGAAAATGAATTAAACCCCAATCTGGCTGAACGCAAAGCCGCCAGCCAAACAATGAAAAATGTTGGCTAAAACCCAATAGCAAAAACCCAAACAGAGGCGGCAGCGCAAGATATAAAATACTTGTGGACTGTGTGCTGTCTGTACTTTTAGAGTTCAACTTCGAGAGACCTTCGTTGGGGGTCTAAAAACCAAGTTATATATATATATATGTGAATGTATATCTATGTGTGTGTATATTGAGCTAGTCGAATACGAAACTCCATAAATGGAGATCATATCATTAAATGCATATGTGTAAACCCCTGAACAAATGCAAAACTATTTACCAAAGAAACAATCCCCAGAAAACCAAATGTATTTTTCAATAAATAAAGACGTACGAAACCGAATGCATGTTCAGCAATCTGTACTCGTTCATTAAGAAACTCATAAATTTGCAATTACTGCCGGACACTTAAGGAAAATGGCAAGCAATTAAAATTTCAGATTTCTCCTCTTGAGCTCATAAGTATGCCGCAATATCGGGGGCTGGACAAACAACACAATCACCCAGAAAATAATAATGCCCCGTGGACATTTCTTAAATTATTCAGCGGGTGGGTTTATTGTGGCATCATTAAAACTTGATTGACTTGATGATGAGCAAATGAAGTGGGCGAAATCAGCGCTAGGTTCTCCTTGACTGCCAAAAACTTTGCCCGCCTTCAAGGCCATTTAAGCTCGCCCGAAAAATAATTTCCGCCGCAAAAGTTCAGCATTAACCTTAAACGAGCTCCTCTGAGTACTATACATATTTGCTAATGTCTCTCGCATTTCGGTAAGCAATTTCATTTGGCCGAAAGGGTTCATATTTCGCTTTAATGGCCATCGAGATGCGATAACTGCCTGGCACGAACATTCTATACAAACAGCTAAGGGAACTTTAACTGCTTGTTTCAAAGAGAAATTTTCATTTAATTCTGATGCCATATTTCGAAAACTAATAGAAATGGTATGGGAAAATATTATTGATCTTCTTTTAAAAAGATTTTACTTCAACAAACTTAATAGACGTTTTCATTCCAAAGAAAAACAACTTTCCAAAGAGTACTAAACGCAAATCAAAATTCTTATTGAGGCGGTTTTATGTTAATATTTATTTTAAGTTGTAATGATGAGTATTTTTCAAATTTTTTAATAATAATTATAAACTTATATTTTCTTCTCAAAGTGGTATTGATTGAGAACACAATTACGGCCAATAAATTAATCTGTTCAGTTTAAAAAAAGCCCATTTATAAAGCTATAACAAATTTATTTGGTTAAGCAATATCTTACAGGTAAAAAAAACATAAGCATAAAAAGAAAATTCAATATTCAGAGGTTTTAAAAGAAAACGTTATACATTAAATTTAATTTATCATTGAAATTTGAACGATGTTTATCATTGCCCCTTAAGCAGCTTTCGGGAGTGTATATTTCAAATAAAATCTTCCTTCCGCTTATCTTTTCGCATACATTAAATGGAAAAGGAATTGTATGTTTTGGGATTTTTGATGACGACTTTCGCCGGAAGAGGAAATCATCCATCGAAATAGCAGCAAAGGGAGTGGGGGGAAGCCCAGATGAGAGACAACTCGAATTTTCCCTAACAGATAAGTAAATTCATTTCTCATGCTCGACCAGAGAAGCGAATGAACCGGAGTGTTGGCCTTGCCCTTGGAATATCCATCGCAGGCACGTAAAATGGATTAGCAGAAAGTTTCCCCCGTAATTCCTGGACCGACATTCATTGCCCCACCGAAACCTGATTGATGCTCCACCCAGTGAGCCAGTTCCTGGAAGGCAAACAAAGGTTCGGGTTCGCAGAGTCCTGGCCAAGCATATGTCCATGTGGCCAGGACCATCTCGTGTGGACAGCTCATTTGACATTTTGATGGATGCAAAGCCATAAAAGGATCTCCACTCCATGTCTGGTGTAAGCATTAAATTTTGATTTGATTTTATTACAGGCACTCGTAAACATTTTATGTGTACATCATACGCACTGTTGGCCAGGCATTTACATAAAAGCCAGCCAGATAGACAAAAACCACAGGGCCAGCGCAATGTTTATGTGGTTACATATTAAAATTCGCCATTCGAGAGCGGAAATTTACATAAACCATTAAGTGTGCTTTTACCAGATGTTTCTTCTAGGTAGGGAAAAATAGCTACAGCTCTTGATCTACCACAAATTGCATTGCCTTCATTAGTAGTTATGTTGTACAGACTGCAGGCTGCCTTAAATCCCCTGTCAGGACATCAAAGACTCAAATAAAGTAGGGAACCCCTGCATTATTATCAATGCAGCAGGAAAAAACGAGCTCTTTTTTGCATGCCAATCAGGCCAATTTGTTACGTGGCAAATTGAGTTGGAGCCGTTGGAGCCGGCGAAGCAGTCTAAGCCCTTTTTCGTGCCTGCAAGGCTGCTCGGCAGCAAGGCAACCATTAGCTAATTAAGACGCTCCAAGTTGCCTTGGCTGCCACCCACGAAAATACACACACATTACAGGGACCGCAGACAAAGGACTTTGCAAGGCGCCAGCAGGAGAAGAAATTGCGGCAGGCACAAAATTTCACACATAACAAAAACTTTGGAAAGCCCCAAAATGCCAAGGAACGGTAGAAAAACTATAAAAGTGGAAGCTACACAATTTTTAGACACCCTCATTTACTGAATGAAATTCTTTGGATTGTTGCAAAAGATTTTCTGTCTGGATTACCTTTAAAATGTTTTGGAACAGTCTTTACCATAAAGTTTTGCATTGTGAAAAACTAAATACATAAATTGGCAAAACCCTAAACACATTTAAAGTAATATCAACAACTACAAATTGTGCTTTATGTAGACTGATCGAGATCCTAAATAAATAACCCTTTTTATTTCTCAATAATATACAAATTTTGGTCTGTGTACATAATCATAACCAAAAAACTCGTCTAAAATGTTATGCTTAAAACAAATTCAAGACAACAAGCTATAACACATTCCTGGAAAGCATTTTCATTTTTCAACGATTTTCCAAACCCTGCTAAAATCAAAGGCAACCGCAACCAGCTTTTTTAGTCTTTAATTTCCGCAGAAACGCGAGTCTTGTAAAGTTAATTAAAAACCGCTGACTGTCATCGTCGTTTTGTCGTTTTGTCGGGCGCAGTGCGAATGCGTTCGCAAATGATAATTGTTGGCACGAAGCAGGAACTGTGCCACAATGGGTTAATTAAAATATGCCAAGTCATTGTTCAGTCAGGATGAGGGAAAGGGAGGGGGGAAAGGGAAGTGCGAAATCTAGTTAAAAGGCAATTTCAATTTTCTCGCACATACGTGTAGGCCTCCAGGGGTTAATTGTGCAATTGCTAATCAGATAGAGGTGTGTGCAAGAGATCTTGCACACTTTCAAATTCAGTGATGGGAAACTGTCAGATTATAAGATAAATATAGCAAAACATTCGTAAAAGAACCGATATAAGCTCTGGAAAATTCCATTTAAATTAATTTCGAATACACATTATATTTTTGGGACAGTTAAAACTAGTTTAGTTTTACTTTGGATTCTATTATGTTTTCTGGTTAACCTTAAATATAAAGTGTTTTACTTATATAAAATAAATTGCTAGATCATTTCAGGATCTTAACTTTTTAAACCCATCTATCTAAAATAAATAGTAAAATATGTTAATTATTATTATTAAATAATAAGGCTTGTCTTTTTAATTAGGTTATACAAAGTGGTGTATACTAAGCTATTACAGTATTAATGTAAAAAGTACAAATTAAATATGTACGACTACATAGACTAACTATCTGTCTTCCCACCACTAAAATGACAACATATAGTACATTGTGTATGCTCGGCCTTCCCTTTTCCCTCCGTGAATGTAAAGTGCAGACGTGTTCATAAAAAGCTCCACATCCACATGCCAGAAGTTGTTCAATGTTCATTGATTAGGACCAACACACACACAAGACTCCGAGAGGCAATGATGTGTATCAAAGTGTGTACCTAAGTGTAATGCCTGATAATTGAAAACAAGCCGGCAAAAGCCCGTTGAAAGGCGAAGGAGCTCGCAAAGTAGCAACTGCAAGGGTCTCTTGTATCTACATACAGCCATTTCGGGCTCAAAGCATCTCGATGCCTCTGCTAATGGAGGAACTGTGTACATTAAAGTTGTCCTTCGAATCGAGCTGATAGTTTCGCATCGGGCCAGATTCAGAGGGTCTTCAGCTGGGAACACGACACGGACAAATATTGACTGCGAGCGCAGCTCAACGGAGACTCTATCTGCGGACAAATATTTGATGTATTTAAGCGACGGCTGATGGGTAATCTAAACTCACCTAAGGCACTAAATGTATCCGTGAAATACACTTTATGTGAAGTCGAATGTGTTTGGGGCTTCCACATTGAAAAGGAACGAGACAAAATATATATTCACTTAACAATCTTGATTGTGGCTATTAAAATGGCTTACATAAATGGAAAATGTAATAAAACTTGAATTACTTATATAAACTATAAACATATTTAAGGCAAGTGAACGTACTGAAATGCAGTTAAAACTTATAAAAAATAATTTCTTGAATTGAACACTTTTATTAAATCTTCATGTCGTAATGGTATTTAATAATGCAAGCACTTATTAATTTCCGGCCAACGGAAATGAATGTTTAATTAGCTTCACTATCGACCAACAACAATAAATGTGAATGTGCCGTAAAAAAGGAATATTTATTTTCATTTTAACACAAAGTAAGCATTTTTAATTAAATTGATGTGGCCATTTATTGGTGATTTTCAGAATTTCATGCACTCTTAGCTGCTCACGTCACGTTTTTCAGCAGCCGCAGAGTATATTTTGTCATTTCAGCTGACATTTATCACAGCAACCGGCGCCGGAGCAACATCCGCAACATCCGCACTATCCGCAGAATCCGCAGAGTCCGCAATATCCGCAGCAGAAAAAAGATTATTGACAAATATCAATTTGATGCACTGCCAGCGTTTTTCGTCTACCAGCAATATGATAAGCAGCATTTGCCTGACGCTGATTGATGGGCCGAAAGCGATGGTCCAAAAGTGATTTTTTGGCTCCCACACTTGGCCACGCCCACGCATTCGCCCCGCCTCTTATTGCCCCCCCTAAAAATCGCTTTGATTGATGTGCAAACAAAATTATTTTGCTGCATACTTTCAGGCGAACGCATTGAAGCAGTCGGTGGAGTTTAGTGTTACTGTGTTTGCAGTTCTCACTGCTTTCGCAAGCAGTGCGGAAGGAGAAGTGGGCGGTGGGCGATGGGTGGTTTTGGGCAAAGACCTTCGCCTAATGCCATTAAAATCATCTTACCTTTCTTGCTTTTTGCCTTCTCGGGAGCGGGGTCGCATTAAAAATTCGAATATATTTCGGTTAAACGAGGCAGGTACATTGCAGACATTGAGTAAGCAACTAAGCAACTTAATGTTTATCTATCGGATTTTGAATACCCTGGCTATTTTCCATTTAACCTTTTGAGCTGATTAATGCAGAGAGAACTTAAAGGCTTATATAAATTTTAAATTGGATATTTATAAAATAAGTTAGAGATGATAAAAAATATATTGTTTTTATTCGATAATAATGCCCCAATAGTATTCCAGGTTTTCCTTTAAAGAATAATCTATTTTTTATTTATTTGAAATATAATTTTAAATTAAAAGTAAACCCTTCGAACTTTTTTATTATGAAAGACAAGGCACATTAATTTAAAATACCCAGAGATTTATTAAGACAACTCTAAACACACACTACAAGATGTGTAATCCAGAGAAATGTCTATGATTTCATCTTGTAAACACCATCACTCCATCACCATCTTTAATGTGCCCCAGCAAGAGTATTAAAAAACGAAACGAAATTTCAATTTACTTTCCAGTCGGCAAAAAGAATGGAGCTTGGCTGCGGCTTTCGCATTACATTTAACTTTTCTCGCCTTATATTTTATTCAAATGGCCCCGCATTATTATTTTCTTTTTGTTTTTTTGTTCTCCGCTCCGCAGGATATCTTGAGCTGCTTGAGTGCCTGACATTTTCACATTTTGCTGCCGTTAAAAACGAAATTGCAAGGAAAACAACAGCACGAATGCGGCCATTACCCGGGCCCCCACATCCCTTCCCCTCGATTTTCCAATTTTTGGCACCCTCGTCCAGGTCCAAGTTGAATTTCCCAAGGAGGGTCAGAAGTTTTCAACGGCCATTAGGCGGATCTCGTGTGCAGCTTAATTTGAATAACATTTTCCCAGGTGCTAAGCCGAAGTCTAATGAGAGTGTCCTGCAAATTCTCCCCCTCAAACAATCGGATCATCCAAGTTTTAAGTGAATTTAAACTGAGACCGCAGGGGAAAACTTTAATTGAGTTTCAGCGAGAGCACAAGACAACACGATGTCATCACGCATACGACCCGTTGCATGACAAGGCACAAAAGTAGAGATGGCCAAAGTTTGCTACAAACGTCATAAGTTTAAATAATATTTAAACAACGACAATGGATGGCCTCGGTAGGACACAACATTTCTCTGGCATTTCGCATGGCACCTTAATAGAGGGAGACATTCGCATTTGCTGGTTCAATGCATTTAGCTCTGATTCCGATTTTCCACGTGACCGACTTTCGAGTTTCACAAAATCATTATAACAATCTTCAAATTGAGTTAATTAAATAAATCTCTGTTCATCAGTACTAAATTATTGAGAGCGGCAAGCAATTTACATATAAATTGAGAAATTGTAAAGCATTGCCAGAAAGTGAATTTATTTGGGGATCCAAATAATCCTAAATTATCCTAAAATATTAAGATCGACCAACATTATAATACCCCCTGCAAGGGTATAATAATGCAATCTCATTAACTGATTATTAATTTCGCTCCGGACTTTTCAATTTCTTTGCTATAGCCTCGAGAAGTTTTCGATACTTTCTCCCACAACTTTTTGTGGCGCAATAATTCCATCAAATCCTCTGCCCAATCGGCGAAAATAATTTACATAATTAGTGACAAAAGCGTCCGGCGCCTGGCACCAAAAGAAAATAACCGAAAAATCTGAAAATAAATACTGTACATAAATTATGTGAGTAAATAAACAAGGGTTTCGGTAAATGTGTTAATTTGCGACTTTCGAAATTAATGCATACACATATAAATGAATTTCTGTTTGCCTTCGGCCATTTTATTTTCCCGGCCATTTTGGCAAGGTTTTTTGCTTTACTTCTTCTCTAATATTTCTTTTCGTACATTTTTATTTTCCCTTCCTGTTTGCGCTTCAATTAACAACAACTTGTTACAGGCGCAAATTGAACGAAAGCTTCCAAATTTAAATAAATAATTTAAATGCGGTGCTAAATAAAAAATTTATAGAAGAAAAACAAATAAAAAATACCGCGCTCCCCATTCGAGACTGAGTGTGATTTTCATTTTGTTTTAAATTGTTTTGCTTAGCGAAAAAACGAAATAAAATACCCGTTTGGTTGGCGGGTGTTAATTTCGTTGGAATTTATTTTGGCTTTACCTGTAAACGTTACAGGTGCCATACACCCAGGTGTAGACACCGAAAACCAACTGGAACACGAACTGCAGAGTGTGGGAAACTGTCATAAGCCACGCCCAAAACGGAGTGAATTTTTACCATCCCCAGGCCATTTTAAATTGCCCAGTTTTGGTTGCCTTTTTCTGGGAAAATCTTGGATATTTGTATTAATTTCATTTTCTGGTAGTTGCACAGTTGCTGTAAATTGATACCAATTTGATTTGCTTACCTTTTCAACCTCCCTTTTTTTTCTGAAATTTCTCTTGTTTAGCTTGTGTGGAAATATATACCTTTTGAAAATATTTATTGGCCAAGAGATATAATTTAATAGCCCTCTGCCTTCCAAAATTAAAAGCATAGACTTTCATTTTTAAAACGATACCCTTTATTTATCTCAATTGATTTATTTTATTTATATATTTTATTACCATTCATATTTGTAATATTGCTCATACTTCTTTGCCAATTTTAAACAATATTTCCTTACAACTACAAGTATTATTACAACTATTAGTTTATATTGCTTCCAATTAGCTATGAACTTGTTATTTTTGACGATTCAAAAACCATCTCATGAACAATACCAGCAATTTCCATTTAGATTGAATAGCCATGGCTTTTCCCCCCGATTCGCACTGGAGTTGCATATTGATGAGTGAAGGAAATAATGCAGCCATAAACGAAAATCGCAGCGATTAGCTTAAATTGCAGGGGCTCCTCAAAAAGACCCTCGAGCCAAAACACACACATGCACAATCACAAAGACACACAGACATTGCACAGACAATAAACCAATAAACGAAAGCCATCTGAGTGACCCATAAAGAGGGGCAGGAAACAGAAGAGATAGGGGGAGGTACACTGAGAAAAAACAGGTCATCTTACCTGTACTACTAGCTCAATTAACTTTGGAAAAATGAGAGTAATGAAAAATAACGCAAAGCTCTTTTAACTTGTAAAAAACTTATCTAAGTAGACTTTAATTAAAATAAAATAAGTTAGGAAAGCGCTCCCTTATTTGATTACCAACAATTTTGAATATTACTAAGAAGCCTAAGTTGGCTTAAAATAAAATTAGGAATGTCTGGCCACTTTTTCTCAGGCATTTCTATAACAAACTGATAACAAACGGGGCTGTTTTTTCTCTCAGTGCCGGACAGCAAATGTGCAAATGAAGTGGCTTAGGGATTGACATAAGTGTAAGTGCCCCACAGATGCTGCTGTTCCTGCTGTTGGGATTGCAGCTCCTGCTGAGGGGGGGCGTGGCCACTGAGGCTGGGGGGTCAGGGGGCGCCTCCGCTGGCGTACGGGGGCTGGGGGGCAAAGTGCGAGGCGGAGGCCGCCGGGGAGTAGCCCAAGTGCTCGTAGTACTCTACCACTGGCTGCGAACTGGCACTGGAGCAGGCCGAGGAGAGCGAGGCGGAGGAGTTCAAAGGCGGCGAGTGGTGCAGTGGGTGGTGCAGCTGGTGTTGCGGGGGGTGGTGCTGCGTGAGGGGCAGCATTTGATCCATGAGATACTGGTCGATTTCCTTGGGATCGATGTCCGTGGCTGCCGGCTTGTAATTTAAGGCTCCGCTGGCCTGTGACGCCTGCTGTGGCTCCTCGCCTGTGAAGTTGCCCCCGTTCGGTGGGTACGAGTAGCCCGGGTAGTTCACCCGACTCCCCGCATAGCCACCATACCCATTGATGTTCTCGAGGAAGTCCATTTCCTGGCCACCCCCTCCGCCGTGCACCCCCGCCTGTCCCTGGTAATTGACCTCGCCCAGAGCCACGTACTCCCGGCCAGACTCCAGTAGAACTCCATAGTCGTGGCCAGCACTCGCCACCGGCTCACTCAGCTGCCGCATCAGGAGGCTGGAGTTGTTGGCCGCAGTCGACTTCGCACTGGAGGAGGCTCCACTGTAGGGCGTGGCCGGGGGCGTCAGGGAGGACAGCGAACTGGCCGTGGAGCATGGCGAGTCCAGGCCAGTTTCAATGAGACCCTGCTCCATCAAGCTGGCCGCACAGGCACTGTTCAGGGACTTCATGAAGGCCTCATTACTGAAGACATCCGAGGAGCTGGTCGCGGCATTAGAATGCGAGATGGTCGTCGGGCAGCCTCCCATTCCAGCTGCATTCGCTTTTCCCGCTCGCCTCTGGCCATTGGATGCGGAGGAATGGCTGCTCCTTGGCTTGGAGTTGCCAGGAGCGGCAGACGCAGCCACTTCCGCTCCCGGGGATCCCCCCTCCCCGGATGGCTGGGCTGGCATCACCCGCGCCTTCTTGCGCCGCGGCTGGTACTTGTAGTCCGGGTGCTCCTGCTTGTGCGTCATTCGAAGCTTCTCGGCGAATTCCATAAAGGGCTTCTTGTCACTATCCTTTAGGTTTCTGTAAGTAGGGAATGAGAAATAGTGTCAATGGGATTCATTTTTTTTTTAAGTGTATATATATTGCAAAATGGGATTAATTTTATAACTTAGAACTATAAGATAATATTGAAAAAGTTATTTTAATTGTGTTTCTCTAAGCATTTAAGTAAGATATTTCTTAAAAAAGACCCACCATCACTAATTTGAATTAAAAGAAAATATTTTTTAAAATAGCTGAAATATTTCAAATAAAATATACCGTAAAATAAAATATATATAAAATAGAGCTTAACCCCCTTAAAGCTATCTGCCGCAGATCACTTGCTCGTAATTTATGCAAAACTGTCAGGTCGAAAGGCGATCTCCGCCACAGCGGCGTCGTTTTCATATATTGTTTGTAATAAAATATTGTCCGGTTTGAAATTAAAATTTCACAGTTCAGCGATTCGAGCGACTGGCGATAAGGAGTGGAGTCTTCGGCTGATAAGAAGGCGAAGCATCCGCCTCAACTAATTGGGAATGCGAGCTGGACCAATTTGTTAGCCCATAAATAAACCCAGCTTAATTGTCTGTCACTGAGACTATTTCCCCTTGCGATTCACAGAAATCTGGAAAAAGAATTAATTGGTAGCAACGTAGAGCTCGAGATTGCTATGATACATAATATTTACTGGAAGTTGCTAGCAAGCCTTTGGAATAATTAGTATATTTCGCATCTAATCTAAATATAATTTAACTCTTATTTACTTATTTTTCAGTTTGAAGCTGAGATTCAGTACTTTTTGAAATATGAAAAATCATCTTAGATTCCTAGATGTTTATCTGACTTTATTTCTTCAGTTGGGTTTTGCTAGGAGTATCTGATAGTTTTTCACTGGCACTGAGAACTGTCGGCTGATGCGATTCCCTGTCTCGTCGGAAAGCCCTTAACCACTCTTGGAGGGGATTCTTTGTCTGGCCAAGAAGTGGGGCTTACAAAAGACACTTTTCAAGTGGTCCATGCCCCGGCGTTTACGCAGCCAGAGACGTGCCCACTTTTTTCTATTTCCCTCAGTCCGAGTGGTGTATATATAGTCCACTTATACTTATACTCACTTCCACAGCTTGCCCAGCGATTTGCTTAGCTCCGAGTTCTGCAGATGCGGATACTGTTTGGACATGACCCGCCGGGCAGCTTGTGCCCAGACCATAAAGGCGTTCATGGGGCGCTTGATGTGCTCCTTTTTGCGGTCCGTTGGCGCCCTGGAAAGAAGATGGGAAAGAACGAAATCAGTCAGAAGCTGCAGGACTTGTTGGCCGGGTAAATAAGTTTCCATTAATTGCAAAAAAAGAAACGTCGCTCACCGAAAAAGGCACAACAACGCATAATGTCAAACTGAAAATTGCAATTAAAACTTTTATTTGACGTGCTAGAAGTAAAAGAAGAAATAGCATCAAGGGCAAAGACCAAAAAGTTCAAGAGTGCAGTCAAAAATATATAATATGTTTGAAGACGAAAGAGCAGCTGGCAACGAAAGTGAAGTGCAAACAAAAGCAATCAGGAAAATCGTGCAAAATACCAGAGAAGAGGGCTTTCGGTGGGTGGAAATCTATTTCAGCTATGCGAAACAGCATTGGGAATCCTTTAAGTGGTTGCCACAACTCTTGACTTTGCATAAAGTATGCAACGAATTTTTCTCCATTCGAGTCCATCTATTTGTCTTTTGCCAGGCCTTCCAAATAATTCCATTGACAGAACGATACAAGCTCCTTCAAATAAAACCGAGGAGGCGTATGATATCTGCTACACTACATTGCAGAACAAGAGTATACAAAATGTATGTACACGGAACAAAATATATAACAATCTAGAATTTGTTAAAAATAATTATAGTTTTGGGGCTTAAAAATATGTATATAATTTAAACCTTTATAAGAAACTGTTTTGTATTGTTCTTATTTATTTTAAATAACCCTTACATTTGTTCCTTTAAATGGAATTTCAGAATGGTCTCCCTCTAAAATGGTAAATCTTGCTTGGTTGATTTCTATTTAATGTTTTTGGGTTCTATATATTTTTGGTTTCTATATATTTTTGGCAGTGCTAAAACATGTCACCTCTCTCTCTAACTCACACACCCGAGCACCCACATTGTTTTATCTACATATTCATTTTTATTCGGCATGTCGAGCACCGAGGAATACAATGAAGGCTGAGATTCAATCAAAGAGATAGGCGTTCCAAGGGGGCGGAACACTATGGCACAATGCCCGAGATTTCCCTCTGGTTTGCCCACCTTTTTGGGAGCGTCCTATATTGAATTATTTATCCTAAGTAAACATGATCAGGGCAAGAGATTTGTTAGGTAAATCTTTCAATCGAGTTGGGTGTGCGTGTGCTAATGCCTTTGTGGCTGGGTTTATTCGATATGCCTCACTGCATTCTATGCCTGTCCGGAAAAATGGGAGAAACTGTTTTCAATCAGAGCAAATCAATAGCAGGTGTTTTCCTCTAACTCCCTGCACTCAAATTAATGACAATGTCAGCGGGACCATGAGCTTATAAAAATATCTATGTGGAGTGAAAGGACATACATTTCTGTAGATATTTGGAATACTGGAATATTTTTGGAATACTTTGGACTTAAAAGATACTCTTCCTTTAAAAGTAAGTTTTTCAAATTCACGAATCATTAATTATCTTCTTTATTTTTAGAATGATCTGGGTATCAAAAAACTCTCGAACGAGTTTGTAAATTAAATGTTAACAAAAGTTCTTCCCTTATTTTGGTTATTTGAAGTCATTTTACTGTTTCCTTCTTTCTCCTTAAATTAGTTAAAAGCCAAAATATTTATTGAATAGGCAATAAACTTGAGGGAAAATAAAGAATATATCTGTTATTTCTGTTACTTTTTCAAACATTTCCAATCTCGATTTCCGTAGGTTAGGAGGTAAGGTGTAAAAAATCCAATCTTTTAAGTAATTTAAAATATTTTTTTTTGTTAGCCGCTTTCGCCTGGGCTTAATTACAAGTTCGGCCGAACTTATTAAGCGATTAAAAACGCGACCGGAGGCCAAATGGACATCGTCTTGGGGATGCTCGGCGTTTTGTTATCTGTCTTTTGGTATCGTCGGCGTCGTGACCCCGCCCCCTGCCACATCCCCCCGCCCACTGCCTCACACCCCCACCCCCGCTGCCTGATTCAAAAGTATCTGTGAGTATATATGCAACTCTCACGCTTGACAGCACGCTAATCAGAATCAAGTGATGTTCGTTTTGCTGCACTCAGTTCTGTGACTTGGGAGGTGGTGCAGTGTTTCCTGGGCTACACAGGAAGAAATTGTTTGTTTTTATAACATTTTAATATTTCAACAGTCCAAAGTAAAAAAGGATACACAAGTCAGTAGATTTCTGCAGTATGGTTGCATAGTTTTAAAAACTAATTGTAGTTAACAAAGAATATAGTAGCAATTCTGTAAAACTGAAATATTACTCAGATATTTTAAAACTACCACAGATTTTAAATAACTTGTTAGGAAACGAGATATCGTAACCAATTTTTTTGCATTTATTACATTTTTCGGTGCGGTGCACCCGCGAGCCCCCAGAAAAATATATGTAGCAGATCCCCGGGGCACTTGGCAACTCAAGCACGTCTTCATTATTTGCTGCTGTTGTTGCATTCGGAGATGCGCAAATCTCATTAAGTGATATCTTCAAGTGGCCGTTAGCTCATGAGCAAATATGAGAAATGAGCGGAGACTGGCTGGAATTTTGAATTTGCAGCTTTCCATTTTTGCGCATATGCCAGAGATACAAAGATGCGAAGATGCAAAGATACACTTCGGCTTTTGTTGCGCATCTTTTATCAGCAATGGGCCATTTGGCGCTTTTGTTATTAAATTCAACCGTGGTGGAGTGGGGGATCCCAAATATTTACAGCTTTAACACTAAGCTGTAAACATGGCACGAAAATTCCCATTCCCATTTCCATTTCCATGCCCATTTTCATTTCCAATTTGTAAGCGCATGTCAAACTGGGGACAAATGCGCCTAATTAGCGGCGGAGACGTCTCAGCGATTTTCACAAGTTCACAAATATGAAATGTATCTAACAGATACAGCGCGTGTAAACAAATTGCAGCCGCCGCAGTTCGTTGTTTTTGTTTTGTATTTTTCGTCTTTATTTCATATTTGCTTAGGCAGTGCCCACATTTTCCCACGCAGCCGCCGCTTTTTACGACACTTGTCAAACAAATTTGGTTGCCTCGCCATTTGAAATGCATCCAACGGATGCAGTTGCTTGTTTGCCCTGCGGTCGCTTGGGTTTCTTCTTTTATGTTTCGGATTGGCCCTTGAAGTTCCATCGAAAAGGTGGTCAAACAAGGTGATAAGGTGGCAGTACTGCCCTTTTCCCTTTTCCCTTTTCAATGGGGGTGCTGCTACCGTGAGAGTAGTATCTGAGTTTGCTCAGCCATTGTGCTTGCTAGGTGCCACCTGCACTGGGAAATCATTACAAATAATACAATTCAAACTACTTAAAGTGTGTTCATTTAATAAGTGGATAGACTCTGAAACTTATGATTTCATTTCCAATACAAATAAAATGATTCTGGTTAAAATATATCTAATAAATAAAAAAAAACACAAGTACACCGATCTTCAGTAATATAAATACCATTATTATAGAGTTACAAGTTAGGACTCCTTCAGTTTTGGCTCAGTGTTTTAGGCAAACTTTGCGTGGTTCTGGTAACAAGATAAACATCTCGTTATTGGCTACTCGGCTAAGGTCAGGGATCAATGGGAATGGTCGGACTTATTGGAAACTTATCGGAGTGCCCTCGAAGGAGACACACATGGCGAACTCTTGAGAGGCGGCTTTTTGAGCTTTCCCTTTCGATTTAAACCGCCTCTCGGCCACTTCATCCGGGTCCCATTCTCTGTTATCATTTCACTTGGCCATGTCCTCATCCATTTCCATTTCCACTCCCACTCTCATTCTCATTTTCATTTTCATTTTCTTGTTTTTTTCAATTTCCAAGTCAATTTATTTTTACAGCGCACTGTGACGCACTTGAGAGAAGTGACAGAGAGTCCCCGCAAAGGACACGTATTCCCTGCGCCATTGACCAAAACTAGGAGCAACTGGATAGGCGTGAAAGGACCCGGCAAAAGGGGGCGTGGCAGCTGAACGCGCAATGAAGAGCGACAGTTTAAGTGGCGTAGAGCAAGAGCTCTGCATCATTCTGGTTTTTGTGGGCCGCTTTAGGGGGGAGAGGGGGTTTTGGTGGACGGATTGGTGGATTGGTTGGTGGGAGCAGCTACAATCAATGCTGCAGGATTTCAGCTGGATACATGTCCCTGACATTTGATGATTGCCATGGCCCTGAATCAAGCACTCGACAAAAAGACACTACCCAGCCAATATAGGCGGACTCCATAGTAAATACTTACTCAAATGAGATATACCAATATTGTGTATTAGAATAGATTATGAATTTATTTATATAAAGGTAACTAAAAGAACTTTTACAGATCAGTCACTTTCAGAGCCATCTAAACCAGTCGTAAAAACCCTATGACTCATTTTTAATCAAATTCAGCCGCTTAAATTCTAACGAATCGTCATGATTCACCGAAATGCAAAGCAAGTCAATATGAAATATTATTTATTGCTTCCCGCCCGGCAATGTTTGCTTGCTTTCTAGTGTAACGCGCACTTTGGGATCTCACAAAAATTGAAAGTTCGCTCCGAATTTCCACACCTAGTTTGCCGCTGGCGATTTTCCGTCCAACCATCGAGTATTTCTGCACGGGAAATCCGGCAGACGGCGGCATCCGAGGAATAATCGCGTGGGTGTGCCAGCCATGGAAACTGCGGCCACAGGATTCCGACTCCCCGGGCCACCGACAACACTCACTGCCAAACGAAAGGATAAATGATGGGGATCGGAACGCCGCTGAGCCATTGAACCCTTTTTGAAAGGCATATCGGGCGGATTTGCGCCGAAATGTGCGAGTACTTCGGCTAAAAGCTTATGGCCGGATCAAATGCGCCTTCAATTTTATGCGCAAATGTCGTTTAATATTTGGCAAAATACTCCAAAGCTCGGCAACAATCAAAGGGTTAACTAAACGTTTGAATACCCTTGAACGAAATAATAGCTATGGTCTTGCAAAAACTAAATTTTGGGGTCAGAAAAGAACTATTTGTATTTTATTATATCTCTTACCTTACTACATCCTACATTTTTTGGTTTACAGAAAACTTGTTAAGAAAAAACCAACTGTTTTTAAACTTTTTGTTTTTTACTGTTAATATTTTCTTTCATTTCTGTAAGTCGCTTCTAACGATGTACCACTTATAATTGTATACCCAATACAACAGCACAAGTATCAAAAAATGAAAAACTCCCAAGCTCATCAAATCAATGTTCCACTTCATTTCCCTTCTGAACCTTAGACATTTTTTGTGTTCTTAATCGCGGAATCCTTTGAGCCCCACTTGCTCCGGCTCACATCGTTCCGCCGACTTGGCTTACTTGCAATTTAGTTGGCTTATTCGAACTTTTTCGGCCATTGTCGCGCTCACCTGGTCATAAAATTTCCCCTCCGATGAAAACCACACCCCGGGGAGATGTATCCATCGAATGTTTTGTAAATTCGTGCTGCAACAAAAAATATGCAAAACGAAAGTCTAGGCTGGAAACTTTTTGGCCAGCATTTGTGGCTGTGGGGCGACAACAAAAACAGCGCCATCAGCGGCCACAACAAAATCAATATTTGCCTTGTAAGCCGCACGTGTATCTGTTCTTGTTGCTGCCGCTGCACAAACTTTTGCTGGCCACCAGGAGCTGAGGTTGCTGCTCTTGTGGGTGGATTTCAGGAGGGGATGGGGATGGTGATGGGGACGGGGATGAGGTGGCTTCACCAACATGAGGTGGAGCAACAGCTAGGAACATGTTTGCCGGTCTTGTCGGGCCCATCAACAGCCAAAAAGCCAGCACACTGTGGAACATCATATGTTTTAAAGGGTTAAACAGACGTTCAAATTAGTGAATTATTAAAAAATAAAATTTAATACCTATCAATCTAAAAAACTGCCAAGAAATTTGTTAATTTGATTATTTTCTTTTGTTAAACACTCCTAAGAGCCTTTACCCTAAAATTGATTTTATTTCGCAGTATTATTAGAATGTAAAATAGAGAAATATTTTTGTATTGTTTTATATTCACTAACATTTCTCTTCTTTCCAATACAATTTATACCTATTTATTTTAAAAATTTAAAGTTCGTACTTTTCCATTCGTGGTCGTCACCAAAAACTCCTGTTAATTTTAAAGTCAAAAACACATTGATAGCGATAGATATCATGATATGTTTTCCATATTATGATTGTTACTCTTTCTAGTCCTTCCTTGTATAGCCATTTAATTGGCTGATTAACGTAAAAATAAAATTTGTTATATAAAAAAAAAAAAAAAACTTTTCCAAGACCATATGGATGTAGCCCACAGTTGCCCCCAGTTGAGGGGTTTTTGCGGTGAGTCCTCCTAGTGGAGCTTCCTCCACACTCGGGGAAGTGTTTGGTTAGGCTGGCCGAGATGAGTTGTTGGGGCCATGTAAATTGACTCGTCGCAGCACCGAAAGAAGAACTATCCGATGATATCAGAGCTGGGAACCGAGGAGCTCTGCCCACCTGGTTGTGGGGTGTATGATAACACCTCGGGCCGGGCACGCAGATAAGCAATGAAATATTTATAGCGTCGCCAAAGTCCTACCCGAAGTTGCGGCTCCTCCGGCTGCCTTACTTTTCCTCCTCCTTAATAACGCCGCTTATCTAATCGAGTCGGGTAAATAGAGCAGGGTTCCTAAAAAGGGGTTCCGCACATGGTGTCTGTATTATTTAATAACAAACCCTCCCATACTTCGAATAACGTGCGACGACGATCGTCAGACTATTCAAGTGGCTTCTCAGCTTAAGTAACAAATTTGGAAGTGATTCACACGAGGTTCGTTTAACCAAATCAAACAGCAGTATAATATTTGCGGTCTCCCCCTTGCAAAAAGTGGATCATAAAAAATTAGCAAAAGAAACCACACATTTTTTACCGGTAGGTAAAACTTGCTATGCGCTTTTTTTAAAGAATATGATTTGTATATTTTGTTGTATTATGTAGTAAATTAAGCATACTTTAAATTTCTCTATTTAAATTATTAAACTAGTATTCTTTAAGTTGAATTTTTGATTGGAAAAATAATCAATTAGTGTCTATCTCTATCGCACAATGTAGCGCCTGCAATAAAAAGCGGAAAGGGAAATCAATTTCGCATCAATTGTTGCCGTCAATCACAGCAAACAGCGGAGCAATTAAATGTATCTCCCACCTTCGCTTACAGAATTTTTTCAGCATTTAAGAGATTTCATTTGGAAGGTGACAGGGGCACCTGGCATTCACTGGATGAGCGGAAAGTGGGGGGTAGCGATGTGCATTTAAGCGATTTTAAGTGGAAATAAACAAGGCTCATAAAGCGCAAGGTAAACAATTTTTACATGGGTGGGGCAATAGTGAGTGGAGGAGGGGTTTCATGGGGACGAAGGGGACACAACTGTGGATAGATAAAGGAAAGGAAATGGCGCTCGTATCCTTGTGCAAACACACACGTGCTCTTGACAGCGCTTTCTGCGCATTTTGCAATGAGCAACTGAGAAGAGAAGGGGAAGGGGAATTAAGCCCAAGGATGTTTGTGCCTGGACAGCTGAGAGTCGGCCCCCTCCCCTCCCCCCAAAAACAACACTGGGGAAAAAACACAATCGTAAATCAATAATAACTACGTGCTTTCCTCGCAATCTTTCCAAAAATACAAAACTTTTTAAATAACTTCTTTTCCTTTTATTTTTATCATTATTTCTATTACCCATTGGATAAATGTGAAATTACAACCAAACAATTTCGATCTATAAAACCTATAAGAGATTATTTAAGGAACTCTTTTTTATAATTTATTTAAAATCCCTAGAGATGTTTTTTCCCATTTTTAGACACTCTTAACTTTTATTTCGAGTGTATTCTCTGACCAGTGATAAGCGATGGCGACCAAATAGAGAACAAAGCGACTGGAAGCGGCTGACAAACTGCGATAAGAGTGGGACCCCTACTGAAAGACCGGAGGTGCAGGCCCCGGCATTTGCTAATTGCCGGTCAAACAGACGAGTGGAGCTCCCAAGGATCGGAGGAATCTGGAATCTGGAAGCTGAGGGATCAGAGGGATCAGCCGCTGCAGCTACTCGCCTTTCTCACGACACGAGTGGTCCAGAATGGGGAACCCTCATACGACATCTTGTCAAGTGTCAACTCCCTCGGTTCGCTTGGGTTAAGATGGGATGCTGGAGACTGGCCCCCGAAACCCCCGAAAACCCCCACCCCTCCACCTTGTTAGCAGTTAGCATCTTTACGCTAAAAACATATTTATTCGCTTTTTATGCCTGAATTGATTTGTCGTCGTCGTCTTCATCTCGAACATTTTGTTCCTCTGCGCCACACATTTATTGAGGCCTGTATTTCGTATCTTTGTATCTGGTGGCTTGTTATTGCCTTTTCCTATTATTTCTGCCTCTGGCCAATTTGTTGTTGCCCTGGTTTGTTTGTCTAATATGTGTGAATGTGTAAATTCATTTATATTTACATATGCCGGCAGATTCCCAATCTTTGCGTTCGCATTATCCCTCCTTTCTCCTGCAGTAATATTTCTCTTTTTTCCCTTTGCGGTTCGCCAAGTTTGTTTATCCAGTTAAATAAAAGAAAACCCACGTATAAGCATATATGCCTGGAAATTGTGTTAATCAGCGAACTCATCGAAGGTTGAGCCGAGCTCCATGGGGCCTGGTTAGTCATTCATAAGTTCTGCGGTGGGTTGGGATCCCATTGAGGACTCAATTTGCTCAGTGGTATGTGGTAAACAATTATCGAATATTTTATACAATTGAAATTCATTGCGTGAACTCTGACTTAAAATAATAAAATATTTATCTTTATTTTAAGCCTGGTAAGCTCCTCCCTTATTACCTCGTCTTATTTTTTTGTACTTTAAATCTTAAGGTAAGGAAATTATTTATTTGTTTACTGAAATCAAACATCCTTTCAAACAAGCACCACTTAGATAAAAATCTTCAATATATCTTAACACTTTTTTTGTTTTACATATAAAAATTTAATATATTTTTTAAGTTTATTTTTGATTTCTCAACTGTTTTAGGTATGAAGGGTAAATTAAAATTTGTATTATAAGGGACTTTATATGTACGATTTAAAACATTGCCGGTTAGGGATAGATTTAAAAATGTATCAATGGACTTACTTGGCTGACGCCTGAACTAGGTTCCAGTCGTATCCCTCGAGGACCTTCATTACCGCAGTCGTGATGCGTTCGTCCTCCTTTCGGCCACCTTGTCCTTGGGCCTTTTTCTGCTCGGCTTTCAAGGCATAGTTGGCCAGGACGAGGGTTTCAACGGGCTTGGCCCGATCCTTGGAGCAATTAGAGTTGGAACTTTCGCTCATTTTTAGGCAGCACTAAAATCTCTAATTAAATTAGTTCAAGCACCGTCACAAAACACGCATAAAATCGCTGAAAACGCGATTGAATTTTTTAGTTTTCACCCACGCAGATCTCTGGGGTTTAGTTGGGGATCACGAACAATACGGAACAAGCCGAGACGCGACGAGGTTGACGGGCAAACTGCGACTGATCTTGGGGATCGCTCGGTTGCTTCCCCCAAGACGAGCTCGGAAATCGTCGGATACTCGGACGATCGGGGCGATAAGCTAAAGACGGTGGTTGGTTGGATCGTTAGCTGGATCTTGGCGAGGGTGGGGGTCTTTGGGGGCGGGGAATCGGGAGATACGCGGCGGGGGCGAACATAAAAATCGCGGTACGCGTGTAAACATTAACATGTTCATGTGAAATTAGGAGGCCCCAGAGCGGAATCGCCAACAAACTTAGTATAGTAAAGTAATTCGACTTTTGTATACCTGTTATGTATTTAAGTTAAATACACTGGTTTGTAAGTGACATAAATATATAACATTTTTTTATTTGTCTTAAATTTGTGTTTTCTTCGTACTGAGTATCATTTTATTCTACGTTTTTTTAGCTTTAGGTTAAGCAATTTTTTAATTTATGGTCCTCACCGATTATATATGGTTTTTCTTACTCAATCATCATTCTCGTTTCTTATGAAAAGTATTCTGCACACAACATACCCTGAGAAACGAAGATTCCAGGGTACTTAAAAGAGAGCGAAGCGCAGGGTCGTGAGATGGGTAAACTCCGAGAGACACAAATCGAAATGGAAACAGAATCGGAAATTAGTAACACTTTACAGCCACATGTGGATTTATGACACCTCCCGATGACTTCGGGTTAAGGGGCAGGCCCTTGGGATCGTTAGAGACCTGCCACTTGTTGCAGCTGTATTTGGGTATTCGATAAGGGGGAATGGGAAAGGATCGAACCTGAATGAGGATAAACAGTGAGGATCGGGGGAGTAACTATTGCTAATGAGAAGTTGATAAGATCATTAAGGATTTAAGGGTTACCAGAAATGAAAGGAGGCATACTAGCAAATATTGATAGGGAGTGGGGCTGGGAAATGATGGATTGGTTCCCAGGGTTGACAAAGTTAGCTATAAATAAATAACTATAGGAAACGTTTGAGCCTATAAATAAAATAATAAATTAAAATAATATTATAAGTACTATAATTATATAAGCATATGCAAAAGTAATTAATTTTGGGAAAATTAAAAATAATACAATAAAAAATCTGTTGAAAAAAAGTCTTAGTAGTTTCTAGATTTTAAATAAAATATCTTCTTGGATTATGGTCGAAAATTTATATTTGGTTACAAGTTTTTTGCATGACCTATTTATTCTTAACAATTTGAGTTCGACATAAAACATAAGCTCCAGTTCATCTTGCCAATCAGGTAAAATGTAAATTCTACACAAATTTATTGACAAATCGTTTAATAAAATCGGATAGAAGTCAAGATCAGGTGATCTGGTAAGATCTTTTCATAACCACTTTGCACTAGATTTTACCTCAGGCTCGACACGATCCGAAATCGTAAAACCAAAGAAAACACCCTCGAAAAAGAAATGAAATAAGCAGGGAATGGAGAGCTATTCATTTCACGATCGTAAAACATGGAAAAAGTGTAGTTTGGTTACGCTTTTGTTTTCCAGCTGGTTTCAACTGGAAGTTATGGTAGGGAACCAAATCGGTATCTGCATCGCATAACTTTTACCCGCCAAATACTTCGGGTGGATTTTTACAACTTTATAATTTTTACAACTCAATTAACTTTTTTTCAAACGCCGCCGGTCCAGGCAGACAAATCGAAGTAACAAAAATTAAACAATAAAACAGAGAAATGCATAAACGAAATCATAAATACCTAGGCCATTTCAGATACTTTTATGCCAAGTGGGGAGATGAAATCGAACCAAAACTGACGTCAAAGCAGCGCCCGTTTTTTACTCTTTTTTGGAAGTGTCATAAAAGACATCAAAATGAAAATTATACGATACCTCATAAAAAAGAATGAAATACAGAAAAACACAGAACTTCGAAGGCAGTTCGCTGAACTGCAGCGACTGGAAAATTGATTCGCGTCTAGGAAATTTAATGGGCGACCATCTAACAAATCCCCCAACCCGCGTTTAAACATTTTTTCTGGACCGGCAAACTTCAAAGCCCGGCAACTTGTTGATAAACAACTCGGCGCAAAAAAAATGAGCAAAAAAATATTTTGAATTAATTAAAATTATTTGAGCTTTATAGAAAAAAAATAAACAGAGGCGAATTAATTTTCTCCCCCGACTTTTTATGTTTCATAATCAAACTGGAGCAGAAAGGTCGAAATGCATCTGAGGGAGGAGGAAAAGGCGGATGCGACGACCGCTTGACAATTTGCGACTTGCCATGAAATCGCATTATTTGATCTAAGCCGCCGACAAGCTAAAAAAAAATGAAAAAATGTTAAAGCCGACTGCTAAACGAAACCAAATGGCGCTTTTTTAACATAGCTGGTGCGTTAGAAGAAGAAGAAAATGGGGCGTAGGGGAAAAGGGGCGGGGCAGGCGGAAGAACGCGGAGCTGAGAGTTGGAACCCTCCAGAAGTACGACATGTGTTGCGGAAATATTTTGTAAACAACAAAAACAGCGACGGACAGTCAGGAAATATGCAAAAATATAAAAGAGCACTGAGATAAATGGCAAGGAAACACACACCTTCACCTGATCCCAAATATTTATTTATTATGAACTAAATTTAGTATGCCAATTTAGATTAAGATAACTAAAGTAAAAGTAACTTAGGTCAAAAACTGTTGGTTATCTAAATGTTACAATTTCAGCAAGCAAATATTTAATGTTAAAATATTCAATATAACAGCGATATTGATTTTTAAAATCGGGCTTATAAAGTTGTTTTTTTTTTATTATGAAAACGAAAAAATTCTAAGTAATTTGAACATTTTCTCACAGTGTTTTTTAAATATTGCCATCTTACTCTGGCTAAGATCATTTACATACACGCGTCACCCCCACTCATAAATTTGTTTTTTTTTCTCACCTTTTTTGTTTATTTTTTCAGTTTGTATTTGTGTTTGTTGACCATCGGTCGAAATTACGATGATTTTCATTCGCCAACGATCGTGAAACTTTCAGTGTGTGAGTGTGTGTGGGAACACTAGTAAATGTATCTGTGTGAGCGGTTAAACGAGTTTTTTTATGTTTTATTTGTTGTATCTTCAATTGCCTCGTTGATTTGCTTTGTTTTCTCTTTTTTTCTCAGCCAATGAGAAACAAAGGCGGGTTTTCAAAAAGACTCTTGAAAATAGAAAAGATGGAGGTAATTGCAATTAATGGGGATTTATTATGTCGAAATTTTCAAAACGATTATGATAAAACCTATGCAGATAATTGTCATTAAGGTTATTTATTCTGTCGATACTTCATTACAAATTGTGCTTTCTGAATCCCGAACTCTCTATTCTCCCTTTTACGCCTTTCTTTATCATTTTTGAGTGATTGCTTATCTACCCCCAGTCGAAATTCGAAATAAAGCACACCTTAGCACACACATAAAAATGTACACACATTTCCATATGCACATCTACCATTACTCGTTGCTTCCTTTTTTATGTCACCGTTTCTTGGGTTTCACAGTTGGGAAATGCAGAAAAAGGGGAGGAATTGAGGAAATGCGGAGGAGTAGACTAATGGAATTCACACGTGTTTTTCTTTATTCGTATTGCAGCAATAAAAGTATTCGTTTCAGGTATTTCGTAGCTGTCACACAAACATTGGCATGCTGCCAATTTATTAACCAATATTTATTTACATGTGGAGTAGATCGCAAAAGCTTTAAAACATTGCAATTCGATTAGAAAACTTGATAAGCTTGAAAAAAGTAATACAAAATAAACCTAAATATTATTTGACATCAACCTAATATCCTAGTGACTAGAAAGGTGACCCCTTTCGAGACAAGTGTAAAAAAATGAATAGAATAAACCCGAGCATATAGATATAAAAAGCATATATACATATGTATATACATATATAGATTTGTAAAAATGTAATATTAGTTTACACTTCATGTACACGATACCCAGGAAATTTTTCACTTGTCCCTTAAATAAAGTCACACATTTGTATTTTATTTATTCGCAAGAAATTGTATTTACAAATTTTATTTTTCTTGTCTCTCGTTCAGGTAAAAACAAGCGTCAACTTGTTTTTGATTTATTTAGTTTTATAGCTTATTTTAAAATGTTTTAAAAGTAGTTTTAAATATTAAACGGCTGCAAAATAGCTAGGTCAGCAGAATTTCTCCATAAATTTTGGAGCCACTGATTTTGGCGTTTAGCGAGTGCTCCCTCCTTGTAGTGGAGTTAGCCTCCTCATTGTAACTTCAAACATCGAAAGTAATCGATATTTTTGAATATACGGGCCAACAGGGAATTTTAATTACTATTAAAAATTTTACAATTATTCCAAAGTATTTGTATGTTAGGGTCTGTTTTCAATACATTTAAGTTTTAGCGAGAATAAAGAAATACGTAATACGTACGCTTGTAAGGGGTTTTGATATTTTTTAAAATATAGCTGTTGCTTCTTGTTATCAAATAAATAAGTAATTTCCATGTTTTTTTTAGATCTCATTTTATTTTTCCAGTTAAATATAAACTGTTTCTAAAATACCGCCGATAATTTATTTGATTATCGATGATTGCTGGTAATCATGGACGTTGCCACATTTCTGGAAACATCGATAGGTTGCAAACCAAATCGACTTTGGTCCAGCTCTAGGTCGCACTTATATCAAGATGGCGTATTGTAAAGATTTGTAAAATCGTCGAAATCTATGTGAAATAGCCTGGCAAATTGAAACAAAAGCGCAGAGTTCATGCAAAACGTAAGTGGTCAGTAGAATATCGGATCGAGAAACCATTTACGAAAGGAAAATCGGCGGTGAACACGCGCAAGAAAATTCGAATTTCCCAGTAGCATACGACTTTTAGTGTCTCACTTGTGCGTGTGTGTGTGCGAGTGCCTTTGTGTTGGTGTGAAAATGCTGAAGCAGGAGGGATAGCAACGTGCTCGCGGCATAAACAGTGAGAGTGCGAGCGAGACGACTAGTTGTCGCACATCTATT